AGAGAACAATCTCCCTCAAGGCCAAAGGAGGGGGTGACTGATGCACAGACATTGTGGAGACAAGTGATTGGTTCCCCATTACTCACGCCATCCCTTCACATGATTTGCAATAGGTAAAGACACATATTCACATATGGAAACAATGTTTCCTTCTGACCTCCTTTGCAATATTCTCTTTCTGATATTCTGCATAGCAACAAGGACATGTGATAGACAAGCCTGACTTCTCCCCTCTCTGGGCCCCAGTTGACTGAGGCCCATTTAAGGGAGGAAGTGCAGCTGCCCACACCAGAGTCTGAAAGGAGACATTCTAATAACAATAGTTCAACAGTTCAATCATATAAGCATATTCTGCAGATAAGACATCTTAATTATCTATGTTACTTAGATAATTCTGATTTCTCCACCACATTTATTTGTCATTATTAAGCATTTAACATTGAACTAATGTATGCACACATGACTGTAAGTCGCTTTGGATAAAAACGTCTGCTAAATGGCAATTTAATTTAATTTTTAATTTAAACTTTGCATGATTAATGGATCTTGGAGATCTCGGAAAATACACTGTAAGTGTAACTACGCCTATGTAACATTTCATTAGATTTCGCCTTGAAAACAGTTCTCATGGGGGACACAAATCCAAAAATAATATAGGCCTATGCCATTGCAAAATCTAATGCTTCTATTCGAACATTAAAACTTATTCTAACTGAAAGAGTCACCTTATAGTCAGTCCTACTGTCATTAAAGTATAGCCAGCCTACTTGTTGGATGAATTGGATGCATATTGGTGTCTAGCTGTAGGCTAGTTGTCTAGTGATATTGTCAACCATCATCAGCTGATCCAGAAAAGAAAAGAAATATTGCAAAAAAAATGATAAAGCTAAATAAATGGTCTACTACTTCTGGCCTAGGATGGCACGGAGAACACCAGTACCTGCGCACACCTGAAGAACAACGCAATGAGCGCTCTGAACAAATGACTGACAAAAGCAAACATTGATAAATCAACAAATAAATCTAATGCATTTGGAATAAAGGTCATTTTATCAAGGACATTTTGGCGAAAATGATGACGAACAATGGAAAATCTATACGTACAGGAGCTCAGCTGAGGCCGAAATTCAGCACTACGGAGTGGACAGCATCGCCACATAGAAATAAATGGTTTAAACCACGTGTCAAACTCATTCCAAGGAGGGCCGAGTGTCTGCAGGTTTTCAGTCCTCCCTTGTACTTGATTGATTGATGAATGAAGGTCACTAACTAGTAAGAAACTCCCCTCACCTGGTTGTCTAGGTCTTAAACCAAAAACCAGCAGACCCTCCATGGAATGAGTTTGACACCCCTGGTTTAAACCATGTCAGAGAGGTGGGGGCGTTCGTTTCATTTGGAAGCTTTTATTTTCATATTGACCACTACATTTTAAACAAATAGAGAATAGTCAATTAGCATTATTTAGAGACCCTCCCAAAGTTGGACTTTTGTTGCATTTAGGAGAGTTAATGTCTCATTCAGGGTAACGAGCCCGCCCGGGTCCCCCGTTATTTGCACGTTTCTCCACAGGCTGGTCCATGTCCTGTAGTAGCCTATACTGTGTGTGGTGCTGAGGAATATGAATTTATCTAAGTTCTTCAACCCACTGCTGGTAAGACTGAGTGCAGTTCTGCTAACAAGATTTGGGTTCCAGTCAACAAACCAACCACAAAATGGAGTGGTTTAGCTTATCCACCCACCCGTCACTCTTGGCAGCTGCTAGATTGAGTGGGTACAGCTCAGAGAATGTAAAGCTTCCATCTACTCTCACTTCAAAACCTCTCACCATCTTCTAGCTCCCAGTCCGTCATGGGGATAAATACTGAGCTCCAGATAAACCATTGGTTTCACTCTGGACTCATGGGGAGAGAAGGGGTGAGGACAGAGAGAGAGAGGAGCAGGGATGAGGGGAGAGAAGGGATAAGGTAGAGGAGAGCAGGAGTGAGGGTAGATGGGGAAGGGAGCATCAAATTAGAATGCAAAGCTGGGTTTTTTTAAGGCTGCCCAACAATGCTGTAAAAAGAGATAGCTCACTCAACCGAGTGTGGACAGCCCTATACCTTCCGAAGGTCATTGTAAAGATAAATAACTGTAGAAATGTCTATAATACACATGAACCCAGTTGTTAAGATGGAATCTGTATGTACATATTACACAAAGGACAAAAAGGATTTAAAACAACTTCTGTTCATCTTCCCTACTTCAGAGACACTTACAAACCAGACGTACTCCCAGTCCACCAAGCAGTGTCTGCATAGGTGGCCAAGTGTGGAAGAAGAGTTGCTCATCATATTGTAAATTCCACTAGTACAATACTAACCAGTGTTGCGATTGGCTTAGTCCTTTATATTACTTAGCGCCTACATTATAATATATACTGAGTGTAGAAAACATTAGCAACACCTTCCTAATATTGAGTTGCACCCCCAATCTGCCCTCAGAACAGCCTCTACAAGGTGTCGAAAGCGTTCCACAGGGATGCTGGCCCATGTTGACTCCAATGCTTCCCACGGTTGTGTCAAGTTGGCTGGATGTCCTTTTGGGTGATGGACCATTCTTGATAAATATGGGAAACTGTTGAGTGTGAAAAACCCAGCAGCGTTGCAGTTCTTGACACACTCAAACTGGTGCGCCTGGCACCTACTACCATACCCCGTTCAAAGGCACTTAAATATTTTGTCTTGCCCATTCACCCTCTGATTTGCACACATACATAATCCATGTCTCAATTGTCTCAAGGCTTAAAAATCCTTCTTTAACCCGTCTCCTCCCCTCCATCTACACTGAAGTGGATTTAACAAGTGACATCAATAATGGATCATAGCCTTCACCTGGATTCTGTATGTACATATTACACAAAGGACAAAAAGGAATTAAAACAACTTCTGTTCAGTGTATATCTTATGAAACCCTTATTGAACGGAAATAAACAATGTGGTATACCATTCTTAACTGATGATTCAAGTCAATTCAGAAAATAATGCACTTGAGGCATTTGTGAATATATCAGATTTTTTAATACGTCTGTTTCAAATGATGTACACACAGTCAATCAAGAAACATCAGAATTCTCCTTCACCAGCTATTTTACAGCTTCTCATCACATACACACGAGTCAGTTTTCACCACACAGACCAAGTAAATCCACTCATCTCCAAGTAGCGAAAGTGTGCATGTGTTCACTATGGAGCTGTTCCAGAGGGTTCTGATTCAATGACTCAAGTTGAAATATCCAATTCATTTTCCAAAGAGACTAGGTAAAACAGAATGGTGAAGTTGAGTTGTTCAGATTTTCTTTATACAAAAGATTTCATGATTTGGGCTACCTCTAAAGTTAGTTTCCTATACAGGTCAAGTATAGAACATACAGGTGGTTTAAAGCCTCTATGACAGATGGCAGAGGTACTTGACCAACTAAGAGGGGAGGAGGAGAAAGCAACAACCTGGCAGGGAGCCCAAGCAGCCGTGATTGACAGAGAGCACACAGCAGAAACAACATCCACAAACATCTGTGGCCCTCGCCCGCCCAGAGTTAAACTGTAATTACACTGCAAACACAAACCCAGGAATACATAATGGAATGACTTTAAAAGAGGAAATGCGCAAATAATTAGGGAGAGAAAGGTAGTGTATGTAGTAGTGAGGCGTATATGGCTGAGTTTACATCGACAGCCCAATTCTGATTTATTTGGCAATAATTGGTCTTTTGAAGAATCAGATCAGATCTTTCGCAAATAATTGGGCAAAATATCTGAATTGGGCTGCCTGTGTAAATGTAGCCTTGGATGTTTCTCCAACCCTCTCTAATAACAAATAGCACACAGGCACTCCAACACACATACATGGGAGAGAGAGACCTGCTCCAAGAGACAGCAGAGATTCAGTACAACAACAACAACCAAGCCCAATGGGAACATCAAGAAGGGCAAACCAACAAACTAAACACATATGGGACATGGTGTGTTCCAAAACATTTAGTGTATCTTACTAGCTGGGACATCACAGTCCCTTTAAAATAAAAAGGAGGAAAGTGTGTGTGTGTGTGTGTGTGTGTGAGAGAGAGTGAGTGAGTGAGTGAGTGAGAGAAACAGTGGAGACATTGAGAGGGGGGGCTGAGGGGTGAGTGAGGTGACAGAACAGGAACACAGCAGGTGCTTCACAGCCCCGAGATGTGGGGGAAAATTGTGTCTGTACTGTCACATTTTAACGTGAAGCACCGAAAGGTATGCCGACAGTGGAGATTGAACTGCTGATTACACACACTAAATATAGGTACTAATTTGCAGAGACGCGAGGCGAGATAATCATGCAAAGAGAAGAGACATTGGGGGGAGATATGGAGAAACAGTCACAAGGAGCAAGTCCATCACATCACAGCTTCAGTCTCCTCCAACAGCACTGGCTGAACACCGCTCCCAGGTGTGCCCCAGACTAGAGGCTCATGGGAGGAGGGTGGACTGAATCAGATCAGCAGGGGTTGGACTGGAGTTAGGCCATAATGCAAGGGAGATCTGACTGGGTAGTGATGTCTCATTGTCATTGAAGACAGACTAGACTTTGTGGGTTATGGGAAACAAAACCATGTTCAAGGTGAAGAAGACACAAAGACCATTCTATTGACGTGAGTGAAAGGATTGGTCTATAGAAAGCTTTGGGACCATGTGGGCCAGAGACTTCAGCAGTCTTGAAAACAGAGATTGACAGAGTTTGAATCAGATAAGGACTTGTAGAGTGGAGGGTTAATGCTTGACCGAGAGAGAACAGATCGAAACCAGGGTCCCCAGGGAGGGCACACAGACAGACAGCAGGTTTGGAGATTCTACAAGGAAAGGGCCTTTCAGAAGCCTGTAGGTCAGGAGGAGAAGGTCAGGGGGTTGGGGGTCCAGGAGCTCCCTCCAGTCAGGTCCAGTCTCCAATCTCCATGACTCAGGTTGCCCCCCTACTTCAGCCCTGTGAGGGGTTCAGTTCTTCAGCACTGCCTCATAGCACTGGAACACACACTGGGACACCTCTGGTGCTCTGCACTTCAGAGAGATCTGAGGAGAGAGAAGAGACAGAGTTAGTTACTACATGGTCTGGCTGGGCAAGGAGATGGTAGTCATTTCTGTTAGCCAGGTGTTCGGTGTTCAGAGCTCCTGGTCAATAAGAAGACTAGTTCAGATTTAAAAGCCAGTGTGACATGCTAGAGAACTAACAACAGGTAGAAACAATTAGTTTTTTTTAGAAAGACATGGACAAGCTAGGTACGCAAATCAATAATATACAGTACATTTTCTATTTAATAACTAAATCAACAAAACAGAACATCCTTAACAGAGAGAACATCCTTAACAGAGAGAACATCCTTAACAGAGAGCGAGCCTTTTCAGGGATGACGAAAGCTGTATGGACAGGATAAAGGCTAATTCGCCAGGCAACTTTTTCATACTTTCAAGAAAAGCTCCTTTTGATATGCTAGTCTAGTCAGTTAGTGCAATGCAACTGTAACGGCAGGACTTTAAGCACTGTCTGTTTAATAAGCATTGTAATTATTTCAGCAGCTTCACTGACTCATGCGTGAAGAGAAGAGTGAGTAACTCCCAACCTCCTCCTCTATTCCCACCATTTTAGCAGAGGCATTTTGTTTAATTTTATTTGCAGGGGAGAATTTATTAGCATTATAAATGCTGCCTTTTATTCAATCTTATCAGCTTGGAGCGGAAAAAGAAAAAAAACGGTCTCATTCCCTCTCTCCTTCCCCCGTTCTGCTTGTGAAGTTTAGAGAGTCTGTTGCTGCAGGATCTAATAGAGCTCTTGGAGGCGGTTTCCTTTTCATCAGAGCTCATGCAGGAAAAGCTAAAAATCGGTGTGATTGAAGCAGTACTACTGTAGCCGTGTGTTTGAGGTGCCAGGGTGATTGTGTGGAGAGTTCCGGTTAGCTCGGGCTGAGCAGTTCTAATGACAGTTGTCATTAACGGTCCAGAAGCATTTGAAGTCCCATCAGACAGAGGTTCACACCAGGTCCCTCTCTGACCAATGGGACAGGAGATCACACTGCTGTGCCATGGTGGCAGCGTGTCCCCCAGCACTGTGTTGGTACATTCCACAGTGCTGCGCTAGACTAGTGGGAACACTGCACAACCTCTCCCTGTAGGGCTGCTGCTGCTCTGTGTACTGCTGGCTCTTTACTAATGCATAGTGGTGCTGGCGTGATTAGTCAGAAACACACACAACCTCTCCCTCTATGCCGTCAGCATTAGGCCAGGTTGGAGAAAACGAGGCTGTGTTGGCTGTCGTTTGGATCAGCTTATTAAACCAGATTGTAAAAAAGCTCTGATCAGCGAGGTTACATGGTGTGTGGGCATTCTGCTTAAGGCTTTGTAAATGCTGCTGAATAATCTGCCTGTGAGTCAATATGAGGGTGGAGTGTGGAGGAGAGAGTGAGAGAATAAAGGACAGAGGAGAAAAATTATTAGCTGTAGAGAATAGTGATTGGTAGAAACAGTGCAGGTGGGTGGTGGAAGTGTTGCAGGAGTGTGGGAGATGTAGGAAGATGTAAAGATGCTCAGATTGCTGCACCATATAAGGGTACCGTAGATTGAGAGATGAATGGGGGAAGAAGAAAGGAGAGATGAAAGAGGAGTAAATAGAAGATGTGTGTATGATGGCACGGTCGTGATGCTGGCTGTGCCAGAGCACCATTCTCCCACAAACCCCTGCAATTAGCCACTCTTGGGGAGGGGGGAGTGAACCAGCCCTTGCCATTGGTCACACTGTTGCCATGGGGACGGGAGGTGAGGGCCCTCCGGTCCACTTCAAAAGGTAGAGCTAAGAAGCAGAGCATCATGGGATAACTGGGACCAAATAGGTGGGGTGATGGAGGAGCCTTGGGGTTAGCAACGTTACGTTAGAGTACACCCAGTTAGTATAGACGGGTTGGTTGTTTAGCAACCAAACCGACGTGTGCTCAACTATGGGGAAAAACAGACAGGGTTGGCTTAGATTGTTGACAACACGTAAACTATATTTAGTCTCCAATGTTTATTGAAAACATAAACAAATTTGCACAAAGAGCACTTCTCTCAAATACATCGTTACGGTTGTTGGTTAGCTAGATAGCGAATTTTTGCCATATTAGCATAGACATGACATCAGTCAAGACACCTCGAAACAAAACATGGTATCAAGAACAAGACAAAACGAGCCACTTATGATTCCCCACAGGGCAGCTTCTTGGCATTGTTGCTAGCTATCTGGCCATCCAGAATAACAACAACACACAGACTTCTGCCCCACTGAATCACATGCATCGTTTTCGTGACGTTGTCAGCTAACCCCTCAAGAGTTAGGATGGTATAGTTTCTTTACTGATGTCAGCATTACTGCCTTTCTAAAGGGAGCTGTGGAATCTTCCCACAGGCTGAGTACGATCCACAATGTTATTTTCTCAGGCTAAAAATAACTGCTTAACACAAGCATGTGGTCAGGTTGACTTTCACGTGTTATACTGAGAGAGCATCAGATCCATGCAGTAGCAGCACAGAGGTGAGAGTGCATGCTGCACACATTCAACATGTTAGCATCTTTAGCGGCGGATACAGATCTTCTGATGGTAATCATCTGTAGGGAGGAAGAGAGCCTTAAGGGCCAGAGAGTCCAGTGGACGGAGACAGACCAGAGGACGGACAGACAGATGAACTAAAGACAAACAGACAGGGGCAGAAGGAAGAGGAGAAAGGAACAGAAAGAGGGCAAATCCAGACAGTTGTTCAGGCTGAGGGATATAAATATGAAAGAAAACCAACCTCCAAATCCTGGACAAATTAAGAACAGCACAAGTGGAGACAGAAAAACAAGGACAAAAACACATCAACTACAAACATGACTACAGACATACTAACAGAACAAGACAAACAGTCAAGGGCGGATCAAACACCTCAGTTGAGTCATTTCATGTCAGACTGAAAACCCTTATTCATCTCCTGAATGAAAATACCAATAGACAGAAAAATCCAGAAGCTTCAACCACTGACAGATGAGTCAAGTTGAATCCAAAATAATGAAATGTGGAGGAATTCAATTTAAAAATGCTACATTTGAGACAGATGGACTAAGACAGTAGATTGACTGACATACAGAGCCTTCGGAAAGTATTCAGACCCCTTGACTTTTTCCACTTTGTTACGTTACAGCCTTATTCTAAAATTGATTAAATTGTAGTTTTTTCCCTCAATCTACACACAATACCCCATAATGACAACGCACAAACAGGTTTTTAGAAATGTTTGCTAATTTATCATTAAAAAAATATGAAATATCACATTTACATAAGTATTCAGACAATTTACTCAATACTTTGTTGAAGCACCTTTGGCAGCGACTACAGCCGAGAGTCTTCTTGGGTATGACGCTACAAGCTTGGCACACCTGTATTTGGGGAGTTTCTCCCATTCTTCTCTGCAGATCCTCTCAAGCTCTATCAGGTTGGATGGGGAGCGTTGCTGCACAGCTATTTTCAGGTCTCTCCAGAGATGTTAGATCTGGTTCAAGTCCAGGCTCTGGCTGGGCCACTCAAGGACATTCAGAGACTTGTCCTGAAGCCACCCCTGCGTTGTCTTGGTTGTGTGGTTAGGGTCGTTGTCCTGTTGGAAGGTGAACCTTGGCCCCAGTCTGAGGTCCTGAGCACTCTGGAGCAGGTTTTCATCAAGTATCTCTCTGTACTTTGCTCCGTTCATCTTTCCCTCGATCCTGACTAGTCTCCCAGTCCCTGCCGGTGAAAAACATCCCCACAGCATGATGCTTCCACCACCATGCTTCACCATAGGGATGGTGCCAGGTTTCATCCAAACGTGACGCTTGGCATTCAGGCCAAATGACTGAGGAGTGGCTTCAGTCTGGCCACTCTACCATAAAAGCCTGATTGGAGGAGTGCTGCAGAGATGGTTGTCCTTCTGGAAGGTTCTCCCATCTCCACAGAGGAACTCTAGAGCTCTGTCAGAGTGACCATCGGGTTCTTGGTCACCTCACTGACCAAGGCCCTTCTCCCCCGATTGCTCAGTTTGCCCGGGCGGTCAGCTCTAGGAAGAGTCTTGGTGGTTCCAAACTTCTTCAATTTAAGAATGATGGAGGGCACTGTGTTCTTGGGGACCTTCAATGCTGCAGAAATGTTTTGGTACCCTTCCCCAGATCTGTGCCTTGACACAATCCTGTCTCAGAGCTCTATGGACAGTTCCTTCGACCTCATGGCTTGGTTTTTGCTGAGGTCAACTGTGGGACCTTTCATAGACAGTTGTGTGCCTTCCCAAATCATGTCCAATCAATTACATTTACCACAGGTGGACTGCAATCAAGTTCTAGAAACATCTCAAGGATGATAAATGGAAACAGGATGCATCTGAGCTCAATTTCGAGTCTCATAGCAAAGCAGCTGAATACTTAAAATTTCTAAAAACCTATTTTCGCTTTGTCATTATGGGGTATTGTGTGTAGATTGCGGAGGATAAAACCATTTTTAATCCATTTAAAAATAAGGCTGTAATGTAACAACATTTGGAAAAGGTCAAAGGGTCTGAATACTTTCCGAAGGCACTGTAAATTGACTCATCTGGGCTGGGGAAAGAAGACAGTAAATGCCTGTATAATGAATAAAAACATGATCCTAAAGCACATTGACTAATGAGATGGGCTGAGGAGTCATGTCAAGGTCACTGTTCTGGAATAGTCAGGCACAATGTCCTGGGCTACTGCTAATAACCAAGTAAGCCGACAACAGTACACTAACACACACAATGAGTCACACATGCGTCACAAATGAAACAATACACACACGGATCCCTCAGGTGAAATATACTTAGCCAACAGAGTTGGTGGTGATGATGACTCACCAAATTCACCCATATGTACACACATAAACACTCCAGATCATCCTCATCTCTATTCATCCCCACTCCCTCCCTACACACCCGCTCCGCTGCCACTGAAGTTATTCTTATCCACCCCTCTCTCCTAGATTTCTCTCTCCTTTGATAATGTTGTTCTCCGTCCCTCCCCTGTCCTCACCGTGTAGTTGGGGTTTCCAGCCTGCACCCTCAGTTCAGCCAGCACCCAGATGCCGTTGGACAGTTTGATGGACATGTAGAGCATGTCCTGGCCCTCCACCGTGCGCTTGGCTATGGTGAAGATGTTACTGCCCTGCAGCTTGTTGCTGGCTGCATCTGTTTAGGGGGATAAGAGAATAACCCTCAACCACAATCTGTGTCACTTCTTCTTAAAATTTGAAATACACAGTTGACATTTTAAAACTTTATATAGTCAGGCACTACATATAATAATGATGAGTGAGAAGGTTACAGAGGGTCAAAGATCATACAATCTTTGACCCTCTGTAAACTTCACTCATCATTATTATTCACAATTCATTCAGGATTATCCGTAATCATGGTAACATCGACATTAACGTAGACATGTTTAGAAACATTTTCTATTCATAATAAAAGTGACAATACATTATTTACCATTCATTTCTATTGGGCACAAAATTATCTGAAACAACCTAAATGAAGTGCAAATGCATCCAACAAGTTTGTAGTCACAAGCTTGATGTAGTCATTGCGTGCTAGGACTATGGGATTAAATCCTCATCTTTTGACTACCTTGTTTAGAAATAAATAATCTTATGGGGTGTTAATATACTGAACAAAAACAAATGCAATATGTAAAGTGTTGGTCCCATGTTTCATGAGCTGAAATAACAATCCCAGAAATGTTCAATAAGCACAAAAAGCTTATTTCTCTCAAATTTTGTGCACAAATAGGTTTACATCCCTGTTAGTGTGCATTTCTCCTTTGCCAAGATAATCCATCCACCTGACAGGTGTGGCATATCGAGAAGCTGATTAAACAGCATGATCATTACACAGGTGCACCTTGTGCTGGGGACAATAAAAGGCCACTTTAAAAAGGTGCAGTTTTGTCACACAACACAATGCCAAAGATGTCTCAAGTTTTGAAGGAGCGTGCACTTGGCATGCTGACTGCAGGAATGTCCACCAGAGCCATTGCCAGAGAATTTAATCTTCATTTCTCTACCATAAGCTGCCTCCAACGTCGTTTTTGAGAATTTGGCAGTACGTCCAACCGGCCTCACAACAGCAGACCACGTGTAACCACGCCAGCCCAGGACCTCTACATCTGGCTTTTTCACCTGCGGGATCGTCTGAGGGGGTGCTGAAGAGTATTTGTCTGTAATAAAGCCATTTTGTGGGGAAAAACTCATTCTGATTGGCTGGGACTGGCTCCCCAGTTGCACCTCTGCCCAGTCATGTGAAATCTATAGATTAGGGCCTAATGAATTTATTTAAATTGACTGATTTCCTTATATGAACTGTAACTCAGTAAAATCTTTGAAATCGTTGCATGTTGCGTTTATATTTTTCAGACCCCACTGTGTATCTATCCATCCAACAAAAATATAAACGCAACATGTAAAGTGTTGGTCCTATGTTTCGTGAGCTGAAATAAATGATACCAGACATTTTCCATATGCACAAAAAGCTTATTTCTCTCTGTTAGTGAGCATTTCACCTTTGCCAAGATAATAGATCCACCTGACAGGTGTGGCATATAAAAGAAGCTGATTAAATGGCATGATCATTACACAGGTGAACCTTGTGCTGGGGACAATAAAAGGTTACTCTAAAATGTACAGTTTTGTCACACAACACAATGCCACAGATGTCTCAAGTTGAGGGAGTGCGCAATTGGCACTCCCTCAAGTTTTGAAGGAGCGTGCACTTGGCATGCTGACTGCAGGAATGTCCACCAGAGCGGTTGCCAGAGAATTGAACGTTCATTTCTCTACCAACATGGTTTTAGAGAATTTGGTAGTACATCCAACCGGCCTCAAAACCGCAGCCCACGTGTATGGCATCATGTGGGAGAGCGGTTTGCTGATGTCAACGTTGTGAACAGAGCGCCCCATGGTGGCGGTGGGGTTATGGTACGGGCATTAAAATGCAAATCAATTTATAACATTTTTGACATGCGTTTTTCTGGATTTTTGTTGTTGTTATTCTGTCTCTCACTGTTCAAATAAACCTACCATTAAAATTATAGGACTGATCATGTCTTTGTCAGTGGGAAAACGTACAAAATCAGCAGGGGATCAAATACTATTTTCCCTCACTGTAAGCTACGGACAATGAACACAACTGCATTTTATCTATGGCAATTTGAATGCACAGAAATACTGTGACGGGATCCTGAGGCCCATTTCTTTTAAGGTATCTGTGACCAACAGATGCATATCTGTATTCCCAGTCATGTGAAATCCATAGATTAGGGCCTAATGAATTTATTTCAAATTGACCGATTTCCTTAAATGAACTGTAACTCCGTAAAATCTTTGAAATTGTTGCATGTATATTATATTACTTTTTCAATCATTTTCTCACAGGCAAACACTGGTTCATCGCCACATGTTCACTAAATAAAGCTTGTCTACTGTAACTGAGGGGATCAGAATGAAGCAATATGATGGCTCCATCTAATAGGCCTCCATGCAGAGGCCTGGACCTTCAGCTATTTTACTGTTCAACTTTAATGGGAAGGGGCTTGGGGATGGCATTGCAGTACCATAATGGAACCAGGCGGTTGTCCATCATCTGCTCTGGAAAGGCAGGTAGTAGACCAAGCTCTTCGTCCTAGTGGAGCTGCAAACTCCTGGCCACCAGTTATTACACTCCATTAGATCACACTCATTCCTCACCCTTTCCCTTCTCAGTCCATATACCATACTCTTTCAGTTCTACTCTATATACACTACATGACCAAAAGTATGGACACCTGCTCGTCGAACATCTCATTCTAAAATCATGGGCATTAATATGGAGTTGGTCCCCCTTTGCTGCTATAACAGCCTCCACTCTTCTGGGATGGCTTTCCTCTAGATGTTGGAACATTGCTGCGGGGACTTGCTTCCATTCAGCCACAAGAACATTAGTGAGGTCGGGCACTGATGTTGGGCGATTAGGCCTGGCTCGCAGTCTGCGTTCCAATGAATCCCCAAAGGTGTTCGATGGGGTTGAGGTCAGGGCTCTGTGCAGGCCAGTCAAGTTCTTCCACACCGATCGACAAACCATTTCTCTATGGACCTCGCTTTGTGCACGGGGGCATTGTCATGCTGAAACAGGAAAGAGCCTTCCCCAAACGGTTGCCACAAAGTTGGAAGCACAGAATCGTCTAGCATGTCATTGTATGCTGTAGAGTTAAGATTTCCCTTCACTGGAACTAAGGGGCCAAGCCCGACCATGAAAAACAGCCCCAGACCATTATTCCTCCTCCACTAAACATTACAGTTGGCACTATGCATTGGGGCAGTTAGCGTTTTCCTGGGATCCGCCAAACCCAGATTAATCCGTCAGACGGTGAAGCGTGATTAATCACTTCAGAGAACGTGTTTCCACTGCTCCAGAGTCTAATGGTGGCGAGCTTTACACCACTCCAGCAGACGCTTGGCATTGTGCATGATGATCTTAGGCTGCTCAGCCATGGAAACCCATTTCATGAAGCTCCTGACGAACAGTTATTGTGCTGATGTTGCTTCCAGAGGCAGTTTGGAACTCTGTAGTGAGTGTTGCTACCAAGTACAGACAATTTTTACGCGCAACGCACTTCAGCGGTCACGTTCTGTGAGCTTGTGTGGCCTACCTTTTCGCGGCTGAGCTGTTGTTGCGCCAAGATGTTTCCACTTCACAATAACAGCACTTATAGTTGACCAGGGCAGCTCTAACAGGGCAGAAATTTGACGAACTGACTTGTTGGAAAGGTGGCATCCTATGACGGTGCCACATTGAAAGTCACTGAGCTCTTCAGTAAGGCCATTCGACTGTCAATGTTTGTCTATGGAGATTGCATGGCTGTGTGCTCGATTTTATACACCTGTCAGCAACGGGTGTGGCTGAAATGGCCAAATCCACTCATTTCATACTGTTGTATATATAGTTTAACCGGCATAGCTCTATTTCTCTGAATTCTTTCTTTCTGAAACACAAGTCTCTTTTCATGGTCTGTGGCTTTACTCATCTGCAGAGCACTGATAAAACTCTGCCATAGTCTAACTAAGCCCTTGCTTTTTCATTCAAAAGCTCAACTCTATTTTCAATTACAGTCACTCTGTTTAAACTACCTGCATAGCAAATATATACTCCTTAATTAACTTGCCCACGGTGTCGCTCTGTCTCACTACAGTAAGGTCTAAACCATCAATTTTCACTCTAAAGGAAATTACATCTATTCAGGGAAATATACTATAAGCTGTCTTTAGTCATTTAGCTCAGACCCAGCTGTTTTCATGCTTGTGTAAAACCAAATTGACATGCACTGTCAACTGTGGGACCTTAAATAGACAGGTGTGTACCTTCCCAAATCATGTCCAATCAATTTAATTTACCACAGGTGGACTCCAAGTTGTAGAAACATCTCAAGGATCATCAATGGAAACAGGATGCACCGCAGCTCAATTTCGAGTCTCATAGCAAAGGGTCTGAATACTTATGTAAATAAGTTATCCGTTTTGTATTTTTAATATTGCCAACATTTCTAAAAACCAATTTTCGCTTCGTCATTATGGGGTATTGTGTGTAGATTGATGAGGAAAAAAAACAATTAAAATCAATTTTAGACTAAAGCTGTAACGTAACAAAAAGTCAAGGGTTCTGAATACTTTCCGAATGCACTAGAACCACGCCCGGTCAGAGCTCCAGTCTGTTCCCACAGCTCCATATCCCAGGTCACATGTCAAGCTGTCTTAACACATAAAGCATGTAGAGGTGCACATTCTCCTCCTCTCCATTAATCCCTTCAATCCCTTCTTCATCTTAGTCTGTCTCACCTGAGTTGAGATGACAGTCTTTGATCTGGAACTGAGACTCATTGTCGTTAGGAATGTCTTTCCATGTGGCCAGGAACACCTGACGCTCTGGGGAGAGATACAAAGAAGAGTTAAGATGGTGGGAAGGAAGGAAGGAAGGAAGGAAGGAAGGAAGGAAGGAGGAAGGAAGGAAGGAAGGAAGGAAGGAAGGAAGGAAGGAAGGAAGGAAGGAATGACAGACAGACAGAGACAGACAGAGAGAAAGAGAGAGAGCAGAATACGCGGGAGACCGAGGACGAGAGAGCAAATGGAAATAAAAAACTAATGAAAGGTAAACTGTTTGTTTCTGTGCTGAACAGTGCGGTTCCTGTTGTGCTTTCAGGATCCGGAACATTAGCTCCCAGCCTCCAGCAGCGTTCCTGCTGCTCGCCCCATCTGCAGTCTCCACAGGGGGACAGACACCACCACATTCCCCCAGAATGAATCAACCAGAGCGGGAAAAGAACAACAGGGCAAATTGGACCCAACGTCAGGATTGTGTGATCTGAGAGCAAATGCATGACTAGATACTTAAGTGCGCACACACACACACACACAGCTTTTAGAGATTGATGTAATGGTCACGAGCTGACCTTAACCTGGTTTGAGGCTATTGACAGGAGACACTACATGTTAATGTTTTTACATTTATGTAAATTGTAAAGTATTTTGTCTGTAATGTCTTTTTCGTTATGTGTTGGACCCCAGTAAGACTAGCTGTCGCCACTGGTGTCGGCTAATGGGGAACCTAATAAATCTAAAATCAACAGTGACGCACTGATTCACTGAGTAGTTTATTCAGGCACACTTACCCATCTTTCCATCTTCCACAAACAGCATGCTGATGGGGTATTGGCAGCTGAAGTAGAAGACGTCAATGTTGTTCTTCACAGCCACCTGTGAGATTGATTACACAGAGGGGAGGGGGAGAGAGAGGGAGGAGGGAAAGGACCGAGAGATGAAGAGGGCAATCTATGACTCATTGTTTTCAAGTGGTCTGAAAGGACAGACACTGCAGGGCATGTGTGGGGTTATTGAACAAGAGAGGTTATTGTCCTGTGAAGACGACGACATATGATAGCATCCACTGCACTATTCTACTACACAATGTGATGATCTCTCTCCATCTCTTTCTCTGTATTTTTGAGGCCCATTTGTTAAGGCAACATATTTTATTCCTCCCTCTCCGTTTATCCAGTCTGTTTTTCTCTGACAACTGGAGAATAAAGATACCATAAAAATAAAAAATAAAAAAAAGACTTGTCCGTAGACCAGATGATGCATAAAAAGGCCATTTGACTAAATCTTAATTTAAGCTTGACATAGGACATCCCAAATGGTACCCTATTCCCTTTATAGTACACTACTTATGACCAGGGCCCGAACAATATAGGGAACAGGGGAATATTTGGGATTCAACCATAGTCTACTCTCTAAGAACTTTGTGGAGCCTAGAGCGGTCACCGTATTGATCGCCTGCTCTATAGAAGAGTGATGAGGACAATGAGGTTGAGTTGAGCCTGTGGAGGGAAGGGGAAACTCTTGAATAATTCATAAAGAGAGTATTGGTGCTGTGTGGACAGAGTGCCTCTGTGCCTGCCAGGCTGTCTATACTGAGTGGGGCTATTCTGTATCCCTCGGTCTCCCTACGTCTCTCTCGTACCTTCACACAACTGACTGGATCATAATGGAAACCCTTTTATTATCACTGCTGCTAAACTATTTGTTTTTATAGCCTACAGTACCATCATAAAAGTCCTGGGCCTGTATGGAACAAATAGTTTAGCAGTGATGAGTAAAGCATTTCCATCAGGTGATATGAGAAAGTGACTGTTGGCTGAATAACTGTCAGCAGGTCCAGTACAGAGGCCCCAGCTATTCCTCCTCCTGTAGGAATACAGCTGGCTGGGAGGAGTAGTGTTGGCGCCAAGGGAAACAGAGCAGAACCGTGGTGTAGACTAATACCACAGAGTGGGGTGACCGCTAATGACTATCCCCCACCTCTCGCTCATTTCTCCTGGACCCTCTTATCTCCTCTCACCAGCTGCACAATGTTCCATCCTTCCACCCTCCTTCCATCCCTCTAAGTCATCGGAGGACTGCTCTGATCTAAAGAGGCCCCGTCTCTCTCAGTTCTGTTTCTGAACTAATAACAAGTTCCAGAGGCTTTCTTAGGTCATATTTCATCCTTTGTTTCTGTAGCACAGGAATTTCAATAACCTGACAGTATTTGAACATGATTTGAGGTGAAGCTAGGACACAGCTAAGACAATGAGGACTGAACAAAATCAACTGGGGGCTGTGCTATATAATTAACAAGGCATACAGTGTATTCATACATGTTGACTTATTCAACTTATTTTTTTGTTACAGCCTGAATTCAAAAAGAGATTCAATAGATTTCTCACCCCTCTACACACAATACCCCATAATGACAAAGTGAAAACATGTTTTTAGAAATGTTTGCTAATTTATTGAAAATGAAATACAGAAATCTCTCATTTACATAAGTAGCATCAGCTTTGCCAGCGATTACAGCTGTATGTTTTTCTGGGTAAGTCTAGGAGCATTACACACCTGGATTGTACAATATTTGCACACTTTTAAAAATTCTTCAAGCTCTGTCAAGCTGGTTGTTGATCATTGCTAGACAGCCATTTTCAAGTCTTGCCATTGATTTTCAAGCCGATTTAAGTCCAAACAGTAACTAGGCCACTCTGGAACATTCAATGTCGTCTTGGTAAGCAACTCCAGTGTATATTTGGCCTTGTGTTTTAGGTTATTGTCCTGCTGAAAGGTGAATTTGTCTCCCAGTGTCTTTTGGAAAGCAGACTGAACCAGGTTTTCCTCTAGGATTTTGCCTGTGCTTAACTCGATTCCATTTCGTTTTATCCTAAAAACACTCCCTAGTCCTTGCCGATGACAAGCATACCCATAACTTGACGCAGCCACCACCATGCTTCAAAATATGAAGGGTTTGCCCCAAACATAACGCTTTGTATTCAAGTTAATTTCTTTGCTTGTCAAGGCCAAAGCTGACATCCCATGTGGTAACAATATTTCAAGCTGACATTTAAAACAATGTGTCTAACTCTGCAGCAGCCTAGTTCTGAAACATCCTGTACAACTAACATTGTGGGAAGGTTACCTGCAGGTTGTTGAGAGGCTCCATCTTCATGACTGGCCCAACAGTGCTGAGGGGGAGGCTGACTTCAATGGTCTGGTTTGGGCCGAGAGGGGTGAGGACCTGGAGAGGGCCGGCAGGGGCCAGGCCAAAACTAGAGAAAGACGAATCCAAGTCAGAACCAGAAACCACCCAAGAGGAATTCCCATTCAGACCAGAGATGGATGGGTTCAGTGACAGTCATTCAGTCACAGTATGGTCCTCTCACCTGTTCCTGTTGAACTGGATGGCGAAGTCGGTCATGACGCTCATGGCCTTGTTGGTGAGGATCAGCTCCATCTGGATGACTCCAGCACGCCGAGCGAAGGTCCCAGAAATCTCCAGACCTTTAGCCTTCATGGCCGGGAGCCACACCTGAGGACACAGGACGCCATCAGGAGAACACCTCTACAGCGCTTCAGCAGTATCATAAAGCAGCTATGTCCATCTAACTGCTTGTTGCAGAGGACAAGGCCATCATATAAATACAAAACACTTATTCTATTCCGCATACTGATCTGACACTGCAACAATCTACTATCATACTAATTGTACTTATACTGTACGGAGAGACTTACTGTTTTGGGAGGAATGTATGCTCCCATCGGCATGCCAACCCCACCTCCCAGGTCAAACAGGTCTCCTAGGCCACCCCCCACAGGGGCGTTAAGCGAGGCTGGCATTACAGCAGGAGCCACCCCAAAACCTGCCCCCATCTGTGGATGAGAGATCATGTTTAATAAGACCTGAACATCCAAAAACTGCACTGAAATATCAACCTTCAAAATTAATGTTTAAACAACCAGGTAAGTAGACTTACCGCAGGACTCCCACCAATATCTCCTCCAAGCTGAGAGAGAGAGAAGTTTAGGTTCTACATTACTAGCATGTTACACCTTATTCCCAGCAGGTTGAGAGGGAGATGCTAGAGGAAGACTGAGGGAGGTGGGTGTGTAATGAGGGGTTGAGAGCATAGACAATATAACAGTGTTCTAGAACTGTGGATGAAAGCTACTGGAGGGAGGTTGAAGAGCGCAGGACGAGCATCATGTATTCAGGTTCATTCTGACATCCCTCTGAAACTAAATGCCAACTGTTTGCCAGCACTGTGGTCCGTTAGGTGGTTTCACAGAGAATTCAGTATTGAAATACATCTTACTCAAAAACATTTCATGAAAAGATCAGTGCAAATGAAAACGACAAATGATTGGGGGCCAAAAGTCTAGAGTAGTGTGTAAAAATCATCAAGTGATAGAAATACAGCTAGCTAGCTACAGTAAGGTATTTTGGAACAACAAGAACAGGACCTACAAGAGTCCCAGAGGCCTGAAATAAACTTAGAGGGAACTAAAGAAACATGTCTAGACAAGAGGAAACAGACAGTGACACTGCTGCTAGAGACGGTGAGAGGTCATAGTGGAACACAGGGTACCATAGGGGGACTCTAGTCTAGACTGTTTAGCAGCCTCTATGATGCCCCTCAACCAACCTCTGCAGGGGGGCTGTGCTCAGTAGGGCTGTGGTCAGGAGGGCTGTCAGTGTGACTGTAGTCAGTGTAGGTGTAGTCAGTGTGGGTGTACACTGGTGACGGGGGCTGAGGTGACGGAGACCGAGGAGTGTCCATCCGCGGGGGAACATGGGGCTGATAGCAGAATAATGTAGGGTTGTCAGATGATGTATTCATTGACATGTAACAATCAGGATGCATGAAGCACAGAGAAAGAATATTGAAGAGGTGAATACAGCACACAGTATGATAGATATAGTACATACAATAATAGTGAGCTACTACATCTAACTAATGATGATATAATGTGGTGTGTGACTATAGCTATGCCCTCTCCCTCCATGTAGTTACCGGTTCAGACTCATCCCCCATCTGCAGGTGTGGCATTGAATAAACAGAGGAAAACACTCAGTCAAAAAAGAAAAAGAAAAGAAACAGTAGAATTCTGGAAAAAATAGGGGTTTGGTGGGGGGGGGGGGGGGGGGGGGGGGGTATTATAACCGTAACCTTTGGCTACAATTACTGTTTGCAGAGACCATTTGACCCAGAAAAGGTTCACTGGTTGACCAGGGGTAGCAGCATAGCAGTCTACACTATGTGAGATACCTACCAGGCTGTCCAGACCTCCACCCAGGAGGTCCATGCCCCCCATCTGCATGCCGGTGGTGGGTGGTGGGGGGCCGGTGGTGGTGGAGGGTGCAATGTCCAGGTTGAGCAGGTCCCCCAGGAGGTCCCCCTGGGAGGGGATGATAGAGGGTGCAGCCTCAGGGGCAGAGCCCCCAGCAGCAGTGCCCACGTCTGGGCTCTCAGTACTCTCTCCTCTGGGGGATGGAGAGACAAGGACAGAGGGAGTTAGAGAGAACTAAGATTCACACAATAAAAGGGGGCATTTAAGAACGTTTTTTACTTGTTTAAACTTGTTTGAATTCATAAATGCAGTGTTTTGTGCCAAAAAACATAATATAGGTCTAGTCCCAGCCAAGCTAAATTATCTGGAACTATTTATTCAATAAACCAAACCTGCTTAAAATTGGTCCTAAAGTAATTTTAGGAAACACCACTAGCACATCTTAAATCCAATGAAAATAACAATTAAATGGCAGTAAACTTAATCTGCTCTGTGCAGTGGGCTGCACTTGATGTCTGCTTGGAGCACAGCCTCATACGAGATCTTTCTGACTGCTCTGGGTCACATCATGTGGGCCCTAAGTGATGTGCGTGTATGAGACTCACGACCCAGTGCGGGCGGGGAGCCTCCTGTGCATCACACCGCGGCTGCCCTCCACGAAGGCGCTGGGGGGTTTGTGGTAGACGGAAGCCAGCGTGCCAATGTGGCAGATGAGCTCCTCCAGCAGGGTGGGCTCAATCAGGTCTGTCTCCTCCGAGATCAGGGGCTTCTCAGCCAGCACCACCTCCTTGGCAGCCACAGGGTCAGTGGAGAGCAGGCGCCAGTAGATATAGCCACGGTCTCGCAGGTCCGGATTGTCAGAGTCCTGCAGACAACATATAGAGGGGAGGACTGAGGTGGTGCATAATAAATACTAACTGCTGCTTCACAGACTATTCTCTCTGCTACTCAGTCTGTTCTTCTCATTTATGTCAGATACTAAGCAAATAATCTAAGGGTCAGTTTAGTTTAACTTCCCTGAGGGGTAGAGCTAGAATAATTTACTCTGTCAGCCAGTCAATAACAATAAGACAATCCTAGAGAACAGCATAAGAAAGCCTTAGAAGTAAGACATGAGGAACAAGGGCATAAAACTAGAACGTGGGGAAAATATTTTATATTTTATATTTCTGGTCCTGGTAGCTTCCTGGCAGTGTTGAAACTCCCCTGGCACTAAACTCCAAAGTTAATGACAACTCCCAGTCTGAGGAGAGTCTGTGGAGGGAGATTAACTACTCATAGAACACTCTGCAAAACAGAGATACACTAATAAGACCCATATATAATAACTAAATGTGCCCTCGTTGTCAGGTTTAGTCAAGCACAACCGACAGTAACTAGACCAATGAAAGGCTACAAGTATTTAGATCACAGCCCACTTTTAAACTGGGTTAAACTACCTTTGAGCAGAATACAATCAATTTCTTAATCCTTCTTATTTTTGACCTTCCCTTCTTCCTGTTGTGCTGATTGGCCTATTTAGGATAATATTTGGAGGTGTTCCACGCTTTCTGGGGATGGAGTAGCCTAGTTGTTGAAAGATTGGACTATACATTTCCCACCTCTCTAACTTACTTTGAGCAATTCAAAGTCAAGACAATCATAACATGCTGGTTTCTGTTCTTCTATTGGGAGGTTGGAGTGACATCTGACATGGCCTGAAGGCCCTGGCATAAGGAGTGCTGTTGTGAGACTGGCTAATTAGATCCCTGCTGTTCACTGTGTATGTGTGTGTCCCGGGGCACTCACCTGTGTGGCCAGGCTGAGCACCTGCTGCACCAGCTCCTGGGTCTCAGTGGGTTTCTTCAGGAACAGCTTCACTATGGCTGTCAGCAGCTGCAGCTGCACCTGGGAACCCAGAGCAGACGAGACCATGTCAAACTCCCTCATACTACTCACGCCAACTCAGCTCATAGCTACATACAGGTGAAGTCGGAAGTTTACATACACCTTAGCCAAATACATTTAAACTCAGTTTTTCACAATTCATGACATTTAATCCTAGTAAACATTCCCTGTCTTAGGTCAGTTAGGATCACCACTTTATTTTAAGAATGTGAAATGTCAGAATAATAGTAGAGAGAATGATTTATTTCAGCTTTTATTTATTTCATCACATTCCCAGTGGGTCAGAAGTTTACATACACTCAATTAGTATTTGGTAGCATTGCCTTTAAATTGTTTAACTTGGGTCAAACGTTTCAGGTAGCCTTCCACAAGCTTCCCACAATAAATTGGGTGAATTTTGGCCCATTCCTCCTGACAGAGCTGGTGTAACTGAGTCAGGTTTGTAGGCCTCCTTGCTCGCACACGCTTTTTCAGTTCTGCCCACACATTTTCTATAGGATTGAGGTCAGGGCTTTGTGATGGCCACTCCAATACCTTGACTTTGTTGTCCTTCAGCCATTTTGCCACAACTTTGGAAGTATGCTTGGGGTCATTGTCCATTTGGAAGATCCATTTGCGACCAAGCTTTAACTTCCTGACTGATGTCTTGAGATGTTGCTTCAATATATCCACATAATTTTCCTTCCTCATGATGCCATCTATTTTGTGAAGTGCCCCAGTCCCTCCTGCAGCAAATCACCCCCAACAGCATGATGCTGCCACCCCCTTTTTCCTCCAAACATAACGATGGTCATTATGGCCAAACAGTTCTATTTTTGTTTCATCAGACCAGAGGACATTTCTCCAAAAACTACGATCTTTGTCCCCATGTGCAGTTGCAAACCGTAGTCTGGCTTTTTTATGGCGGTTTTGGAGCAGTGGCGTCTTCCTTGCTGAGCGGCCTTTCAGGTGATGTCGATACAGGACTCGTTTTAATGCGGATATTGATACTTTTGTACCTGTTTCCTCCAGCATCTTCACAAGGTCCTTTGCTGTTGTTCTGGGATTGATTTGCACTTTTCGCACAAAAATCTCTAGGAGACAGAATGCGTCTCCTTCCTGAGCGGTATGACGGCTGCGTGGTCCCATGGTGTTTAAACTTGCGTACTATTGTTTGTACAGATGAACGTGATACCTTCAGGCGTTTGGAAATTGCTCCCAAGGATGAACCAGACTTGTGGAGGTCTACAATTTTTTCTGAGGTATTGGTTGATTTTCCCATGATGTCACGCAAAGAGGCACTGAGTTTGAAGGTAGGCCTTGAAATACATCCACAGGTACACCTCCAATTGACTCAAATGATGTCAATTAGCCTATCAGAAGCTTCTAAAGCCATGACATCATTTTCTGGAATTTTCCAAGCTGTTTAAAGGCACAGTCAACTTGAATTGTGTAGAGCATGTAGAGGTCTGTAATTTTTATCATAGGTACACTTCAACTGTGAGAGACGTGTTAATTCATTTGCATTTTATTACATGACATAAGTATTTGATACATCAGAAAAGCAGAACTTAATATTTGGTACAGAAACCTTTGTTTGCAATTACAGAGATCATACGTTTCCTGTAGGTCTTGACCAGGTTTGCACACACTGCAGCAGGGATTTTGGCCCACTCCTCCATACAGACCTTCTCCAGATCCTTCAGGTTTCGGGGCTGTCGCTGGGAAATACGGACTTTCAGCTCCCTCCAAAGATTTTCTATTGGGTTCAGGTCTGGAGACTGGCTAGGCCACTCCAGGACCTTGAGATGCTTCTTACGGAGCCACTCCTTAGTTGCCCTGGCTGTGTGTTTCGGGTTGTTGTCATGCTGGAAGACCCAGCCACGACCCATCTTCAATGCTCTTACTGAGGGAAGGAGGTTGTTGGCCAAGATCTCGCGATACATGGCCCCATCCATCCTCCCCTCAATACGGTGCAGTCGTCCTGTCCCCTTTGCAGAAAAGCATCCCCAAAGAATGATGTTTCCACCTCCATGCTTCACGGTTGGGATGGTGTTCTTGGGGGTTGTACTCATCCTTCTTCTTCCTCCAAACACAGCGAGTGGAGTTTAGACCAAAAAGCTCTATTTTTGTCTCATCAGACCACATTACCTTCTCCCATTCCTTCTCTGGATCATCCAGATGGTCATTGGCAAACTTCAGACAGGCCTGGACATGCGCTGGCTTGAGCAGGGGGACCTTGCGTGCGCTGCAGGATTTTAATCCATGACGGCGTAGTGTGTTACTAATGGTTTTCTTTGAGACTGTGGTCCCAGCTCTCTTCAGGTCATTGACCAGGTCCTGCCGTGTAGTTTTGGGCTGATCCCTCACCTTCATCATGATCATTGATGCCCCACGAGGTGAGATCTTGCATGGAGCCCCAGACCGAGGTTGATTGACCGTCATCTTGAACTTCTTCCATTTTCTAATAATTGCGCCAACAGTTGTTGCCTTCTCACCAAGCTGCTTGCCTATTGTCCTGTAGCCCATCCCAGCCTTGTGCAGGTCTACAATTTTATCCCTGATGTCCTTACACAGCTCTCTGGTCTTGGCCATTGTGGAGAGGTTGGAGTCTGTTTGATTGAGTGTGTGGACAGGTGTCTTTTATACAGGTAACGAGTTCAAACAGGTGCAGTTAATACAGGTAATGAGTGGAGAACAGGAGGGCTTCTTAAAGAAAAACTAACAGGTCTGTGAGAGACGGAATTCTTACTGGTTGGTAGGTGATCAAATACTTATGTCATGCAATAAAATGCAAATTAATTACTTAAAAATCATACAATGTGATTTTCTGGATTTCTGTTTTAGATTCCGTCTCTCACAGTTGAAGTGTACCTATGATAAAAAATTACAGACCTCTACATGCTTTGTTCTCTCCACTGTACATGCATACATACATGCAGTACAGAGAAGCCCTATGTACAGAACAACATTTGCGCAACTAACAAAGACTACTCTGGACTGAAGACTACTCTTTATACACAGAGCCACTGAGGAGGAAAATATGTAAATGAATACCAACCACTCCATATTTCAATTGTTACTGAAGTGCTCCAATTAAAGTGTCATGTTTTTTACATCATCATCTGGACTCTGGTTAGAAGTTTTTAGGAAACAAAGTAGGCATTTAAATGTCTCTCCACAATTCTTCAGTTGTATTTTTATCTTCATCACAAATAGATTGAATTCCTAAAGTAAATAAAATCAATGCTCTTTCACAAGCAGTGCCTTTCAGCATTCCATAAACAGCCAGTCAGCATCTTCACAGACCTGCTGCCCCTCGAGAGCTAAAACAACAGTTATTCTATGAAATCACAGAGTGGCCAGTCAAGTATAGGCCTACTCTCTCTGTGTATAGGCTGCTAAATGCAGTCCGCCCCCAATATCTTCCAGCATACACAGAATGGTTCCATTGAATCGCTGTTTAGACAGTGAGAGGTAAATGGTATCTCGTCTGCTTCCCAAATTTCACCCTATTCCCTGTATGGGCCCTGGTCAAAAGTAGTGCACTACATGGGGAATAGGGTGAAATTTGGGAAGCAGACGAGATACCATTTACCTCTCACTGTCTAAACAGCGATTCAATGGAACCATTCTGTGTATGCTGGAAGATATTGGGGCGGACTGCATTTGGGACAAAGCCCATATGTGAGTGTGTGCGAGTCAGACCTGGGTGCTCTCGTCGTGGAAGCCCTCCAGGAAGCTCTCCAGCAGCTCGTCAGCGTTGTCAATCCTCTCAGCGTACTCTCCTACGATCCAGATCATGGCCGCCCGCGCCTCCGGCTCGTCCAGAGAGTCCAGGTTCTCACACAGCGTGGCGATCACACTCTCATACCTGGGAACAGACACCATGGTTAGGAACTAATGACCAAATACCAGTCATTGTCCCCACACAGACAGAAAAACATTTTCAAAGGGGACTACAAATAGTTGTAGTACTTCATTAGTCCCAAATGGGAAATTGGTTTGCGGCAATTTAAAAAAATGGTATTACAATATTTATCAACGTAATTGTTGTCAGTTGAATATAAAATGTAATTGACTCTACACTGCTGAGGTGTAGCATTCCTCTTGAGAATGGTAGTTGCATAAATGCCAACATAGCACTTGAACAGGATGTGCTGGAGCAGTAATGTGAGGGCAAGGAGGCGGCAGGTAACCTAGCGGTTAAGAGCGTTGGGACAGTAAAAAATGTAGAAATGGCAAAGCAACACAATCGGTTCGTGCTGTTGCGGAGACTAACAAATTTCAGAGCTTCTGAACTTTCACTTCACTAAATTCTAGCACATTTGTATTGTGTGCCACTGAATATTTACATGACTGCACATCATACAAATATTTTGTGGGCCCTCCTGACAACACAATTACCAAACTTCATGCTGGATGAACTGTGTTATTTTCTGAATTACGTTTTGCTGACAAAAACTAAAATAGAGGGAACGCAATGTCTTCCGAATAAATTTTAATGATTCACTATTTAACACTTAAAAAGACGACAAAGCAAAGAAAGACCAAATAGCATGCAATCATCCATTTCAACAGCTAATTGAGACAGCAATGCAGGTTCACTGAATGACTCATGGCTGTGAGGTCATGTTCAGGAAACAGCAGTACAGTAAGTTAAGAAAGCACAGCGTGACGTGGGCTGCAGGAGGGTATACGTTTCTGTTGGTCTGTTTGTCTGTGTAGCATATGGATCTAGTCTCCTGGGCCTAGATAGAGCCGCCTCAGCCTGCCCTCTTCTCTGACTGTGGCTGCTTGAGGGTTATCAGGGGAAGGGTTTCAGCACTACGGCATTCTCAAGGACAGACACCCTGCATTTGTGGGAGAGGCTAGAGTAGCGTTCACTCGCCTCAAAAGCTCATATTTCATACCTTTCACGATGAAAGTCAAGCAGAAAACCCTCTGTGTCATGGTAATGAGCTTTCTCCCTGCCTCTTCCAGACCAAGAAAATGTGATCTGGGGGTAGTGAGCTGGAACAGACATGGCTCCAGGGTGTGTGGGTGCGCATATGTGCAAGTATGAATGCATTTGCTTGCGTTAATACAAATAGAGGGTACTAAGTGACAACAGGGGAGTGTATAGGCCATTTTAACAAGCATAGCAAGCTCTGCTAATGTGCAATAAAGCCTCTATATGACACATTGAATATCAATCTCCATCACAATTGTCCATGGTTGGTTTACTCCAGCACTATATATCTGGTTGCCTTGATCACTACTGATACGGCTATGGAAATTTGACAGACAATCCATTTTGATGGTTGGAATGGTTTACCAGTAAACACCTCACCCACAGAAAAATAACACTACCCTATTTACAACTGTACTGTCTTCCTGGGTAGACTCATTCACTGATTCATTCAAATTGTGATATATGCAGTGCCTCTTCCATCGAAGTCATTCACTTCTAAACCATTTGAAAATCCATTCATAGGAAAACAAAACACTAACTGGATTATCAGGATTGCGCCTCATGTTGTCCATCTCACTATGTTCACCCCAAATGGCATCTTTTTCTCCATTCGGAAAGTATTCAGACCCCTTGACTTTTTACACTTTGTTACGTCCTTATTCTAAAATGGAATACATTTTTTTTTAAATCCTCAATCTACACACAATGCACCATAATGACAAAAACAGGTTTAGAAGAGTATTAAAAATAAAAATCAGAAATACCTTATTTACAATAGTATTCAGACCCTTTGCTATGAGACTCGAAATTGCACTCAGGTGCATCCTGTTTCCATTGATCTTCCTTGAGATGTTTCTACAACTTGATTTGTATTTATTATGGATCCCCATTAGCTCCTGCCAAGGCAGCAGCTACTCTTCCTGGGGTCCAGCAAAATTAAAACCTCCGGTGGCATGCCTTGTGGGGTATGCATGGGTGTCCAAGCTGTGTGCCAGTAGTTCAAACGGACAGCTCGGTGCATTCAACATGTCAACACCTCTCACAAATTCAAGTAGTGATGAAGTCAATCTCTCCACCACTTTGGAGTTCACCTGTGGTAAATTCAATTGATTGGACCTGTCTATATAAAGGTCCCACAGTTGACAGTACATGTCAGAGCAAAAACCAAGCCAAGAGGTCGAAGGAATTGTCCGTAGAGCTCCGAGACAGGATTGTGTCGAGGCACAGATCTGGGGAAGGGCACATAGAAATTTATGCAGCATTGAAGGTTCCCAAGAACACAGTGGCCGTCATTCTTAAATGGAAGAAGTTAGGAACCACCAAGACTCTTCCTAGAGTGGAAGCCACTCCTCAGTAAAAGGCACATGACAGCCTGCTTGGAGTGTGCCAAATGGCACGTAAAGGACTCTCAGACCATGAGAAACAAGATTCCCTGGTCTTATGAAACCAATATTTAACTATTTGGCCTGAATACCAAGCGTCACGTCTGGAGTAAACCTGGCACCATCCCTACAGTGAAGCATGGTGGTGGCAGCATCATGCTGTGGGGATGTTTTCAGCGGCAGGGACTGGGAGACAGGATCGAGGGAAAGATGAACGGATCCTTGATGAAAACCTGCCCCAGAGCGCTCAGGACCTCAGACTGGGGCGAAGGTTCACCTTCCAACAGGACAACGACCCTAAGCACACAGTCAAGACAAACGCAGGAGTGGCTTTGGGACAAGTATCTGAATGTCCTTGAGTGGCCCAGCCAGAGCCCAGACTTGAACCCATTCTAACATCTCTGGAGACCTGAAAATAGCTGTGCAGCGACGCTCCCCATCCAACCTGACAGAGCTTGAGAGGATCTGCAGAGAAGGGGAGAAACTCCCCAAATACAGATGTGCCAAGCTTGTAGCGTCATCCACAAGAAGACTTGAGGCTGTCATCGCCGCCAAAGGTGCTTCAACAAAATACTGAGTAAAGGGTCTGAATATTTTGTAAATGTGATAGTTTTTTTTATTTTTTATAAATTTGCAAAAAAAAATCTAAAACCTGTTTTGATTTGTCATTATGGGGTATTGTGTGTAGATTGATGTGAAAAACAACAACAATCTAATCCATTTTAGAATAAGGCTGTAACGTAACAAAATGTGGAAAAAGTCAAGGGGTCTGAATACTTTCCGAATGCACTGTAGTGCATTACTTTTGCCCACAGCCCTATGCCACTGTGTTATAACCATGCCTAGACCTGGGGGGCCATCAACAGGTAAATAGGTGACCTACTTGTTGGGGTACTTGCGGAAGATGTCCTTGATGACCACGATGGCCTCCTGCACCACATAGTTGACCTTGGTCTGGATGAGGTCCAGCAGGGTGCTCACACAGCGCTCAGCTGATTGCTGACAGACAGACGGAGAGACACAGACAGAGACGGACAGGAGAGATGCTGTCAGCCAAACACAGAGCAGTCAAGGGAGACACTACAGTAACAAATGGCATTATTCAGGCTTTTGTTATCACAAGCATGAAAAAGCCCCAACCTTTCATGGACATTTATACTACACATGCTGCAGTAAACTCATGACACACAGTCATGAGGCTAGCAGTAAAACACTACAGTTAGCTTGAGGGTTTGTTGTATTTGACTTGAAACATTATACTACAGTATATGACCCGTGTACAGTATATCATGACAGTGTTTTTTTTTTATAGAATTTTTGGGGGGGTAGATCAGCTTTAATATTGCAGATAGATTGTAACTTCCATCAATGTAATTGTCTGCATCACTTCCATCATGACAGTGTTACATCTCCTCCTCTCTCTCTCTCTTTCTCTCCCTCTCTCTCTCACCTCCACTTTGATGGCACAGCGGCCGATGGCTCGGACTGCCTTCCGCACAAAGTCCACATCCACCTCAGTGGCATACTCCTTCAGCTCTGCCAGCACCTATGAAACCACCAGCATGGGGTCACTGATACTGGCTTTTATGTTGTCTAGGAATCACACATTACTGCTTGTCCATGTTACCTACCAAAATGTTACTTACAATCAAACATCATGGCTTCCATTGGAAGTAAAGGTTGTAACTGTAATGGGATTGTGGTGTGTGTGTGTGGGTCACCTGGGCGATGTTGGCTTGAGATGCCAGGCGGATCATGATGTCCAGTTTCTCCAGCTTGACATAGATGGGGTCATTGTACTTCACAAAGAACACCTTCATCTCATGCTTCAGGATCTCTGGGCTGCACAGAGAAACAGGTACGGTCGATATCAAAAGAAAAGTAATTTGTAATTTCAATAAATGGTGGAATTAGTAGAATACAGCCAACACATTAATGTGCTGAGGAAGCACTGGCAGGGTCCCAAATAGCACCCTATTCCCTATATAGTGCACTTCTTTTGACCAGGGCCCAGGTAGCACACTATATAGGGAATAGAGTGTCATTTGGACTGCACACACTGAATAGCTGTAATTATCTGAATAACTCATTTCTGTTGGTAGGCCCTCTATCTCTCCCCAGGCCTTCCTACCGTTTCTGCACGATGAGGTTGATGTTCCTCAGGGCCACATACTGCAGCTCAGGCTCTGCAGACAGCAGGGTGACCAGGGGAGGGGCCAGTTTCTTCAGCAGGGTGCCATAGTAGTCCAGGTCCTTAGGAAGCATCTCCATGAACTTCATCAGCACCTTGACCGCTGACAGCACCACCGCAGAGTTGGCATGGGACAGACGGGGGGTCACCCGCTCACAGATACTACAGCAGGAGAGCGGGAGGGGAGGACGGAGATGAGACGAGGGACGAGTACAGATTATGGGGAAATTGACACCTCATATACAGCAGATGATATGGACACTGACAGGGAGAATCAGTGCGTCAGAGACAGTGTAATGAATGAGGTGGCATCCTGTGCTTTCTGACCTCTGGGACTCGCGGTCGTCGCGAGGGGTGTAGTTGGCCAGGCAGTCCAGGATGAAGATCTGGCCCCACTCGGTGCACTCGTTGAGGGCCGTCAGCAGCTTGTTGATGGACTGGGGGTTCAGGTCCAGCAGGTTGCTGTTGGGGTGGGACTCTGCAATCTCAGACAGGGCTGCCACGGCATTCGCTACCACCTGACAGAAGGAGAGGGCGAGAGAGTAGGTCAGTTAGACTGCAAGAACACATACCCTAGTGGATGGCAATGAGATGACGGAAGGAATTCATTGCCAAACAGCGATACAAATCTGATACCGCAAGTGCCCTTTTCTATACTGGTAAAACCTCCCATTCGTGAAAAGTAGTACTATAGCCAGTAGTCTAGCCCAGAGGCAGGTAGTCTAGCAGTCTGGTCAGCCTGCCGTGGGAGCCTCACCATGGGGTTGGAGTCAGAGATGAGGTCCTTGAGGGTATCCAGGAAACCCTGGTCCTCCACCAGCTGGGCGTTGATGTCATGGAGCTTGGCGACGCACACGGCTGCAGTCTTCCTCACGTAGGGGTCCTCGTCCTTCAGACACTTCCTCAGAGGCTCACACAGGTACTCAGTGATCTTGTCCACGCGGATGCAGCCCATAGTACGCACAGCCAGGGCCCGGATCAGGGGGTTAGGGTCCTCACAGTCCTGAAGGGGGAGGAGAGTCTCTATGTTCGTTTTTAACACACTGAAGAGTATCGAGATGTAGTTACCACAGTTCTCTAACTTGACAGTGAGAAAAATATTTTGTGCAATAGGTCAGTGCCGTATGCCCTGGTGTTGTGCTTTACCTTGACGAAGGTGTTGACAGCCATGATGGCCATGTCGGGCTGGCTCTTGGCATAGTTCATCAGGTACAGGTAGACCAGCTTCTTCAGCTCAAGGTTGTCAGTCTGCATGCAGTTCACCACGTCTGGAAACAGGGCACTAGGGGAGGGGGTGCCATAGAATGACATATAGAATCATGAAGGTCTATGACATCAGCCACTCTAGTGAAATATAGGTTCCCTATGGCGGGAGCAGTCAGTATGGGCCATGACTATCCACGGCATTCTCACATGTTCAGAGGTGACACGGTGCCACCCGAGCGCGGCAATGGACCATGTTATAGCGTACCTTTTGACAATGAGTTTTTGACACAGGTCTAACAGAACTCACCTGACATCCTTCCCAACGGTCATGGAGGCAATGACCTTCTTCACAGCCTCCTTCTTCTTCTCCTTCTTATCGCTGTTCAGCTCGGCTTTCAGCTCAAAGATCTCTCCTGCACAGAACATACCATTATAACAGATAGCAAAAGTGTGTGTACGTGGAGTAGTCATGCATAATTCTTTAGATCAAGACTGGTGTGTGTAATATAACCAGTCAGTGAAGGGTGCACTGCACACACTGCTGTTACTTTGATTACAATTAATTTCATGACATGAACACATGTATTGTTATAGAGATACGGTTGACCTAGAATTGATTAAACACTGGATGAAGCTTGGTTAAACAACACTCCATAGAGGGTGGTCTACGGTGATAGGTGGGATGGGCTGAGAGTGGTTGAGGGGTGGGATTAAAAAGCTCATGTTTGGTAATGTATTATTGTATATAAAAGTACCATATGTAAAATGTACAGTACCAGTCAAAAGTTTGGACACACCTACTCATTCAAGGGATTTTCTTTATGTTTACATTATAGAATAATAGTGAAGACATCAAAACTATGAAATAACACATATGGAATCATGTAGTAACCAAAAAAAGTGTTAAACAAATCAAAATATATTTTATATTTGAGATTCTTCAAATAGCCACCCTTTGCCTTGATGACAGCTTTGCACACTCTTGGCACTCTCAACCAGCTTCATGAGGAATGCTTTTCCAACAGTCTTGAAGGAGTTCCCACATATGCTGAGCACTTGTTGGCTGCTTTTCCTTCACTCTGCTGTCCGACTCATCCCAAACCACCTCAATTGGGTTGAGGACGGGGGATTGTGGAGGCCAGGTCATCTGATGCAGCACTCCACTCTCCTTCTTAGTAAAATAGCCCTTACACAGCCTGGAGGAGTGTTGGGTCATTGTCTTGTTGAAAAACAAATGATAGTCCCGCTAAGCCCAAACCAGATGGGATGGCGTATCGCTGAAGAATGCTGTGGTAGCCATGCTGGTTAAGTGTGCCTTGAATTCTAAATAAATCACAGACAGTGTCACCAGCAAAGCACCCCCACACCATCACACCTCCTCCTCCATGCTTTATGGTGGGAACTACACATGCAGAGATCATCCGTTCACCCACACTGCGTTTCACAAAGACAAGGCGGTTTGAACTAAAAATCTCAAATTTGGACACCAGACCAAAGGACACATTTCCACCAGTCTAATGTCCATTGCTCGTGTTTCTTGGCCCAAGCAGGTCTCTTCTTATTGGTATCCTTTAGTAGTGGTTTCTTTGCAGCAATTCGACCATGAAGGCCTGATTCACACAGTCCCCTCTGAACAGCTGATGTTGAGATGTGTCTGTTACTTGAATTCTGTGAAGCATTTATTTGGGCTGCAATTTCTGAGGCTGGTAAGTAACTCTAATGAACTTATCCTCTGCAGCAGAGGTAGCTCTGGGTCTTCCTTTCCTGTGGTGATCCTCATGAGAGCCAGTTTCATCATAGAGCTTGAAACTTTCAAAGTTCTTGAAATACATTTACATTTTAGTCATTTAGCAGACGCGCTTATCCAGAGCGACTTACAGTTAGTGAGTGCATACATTATTTTTTTAATTTTTCATACTGGCCCCCCGTGGGAATCGAAACCACAACCCTGGCATTGCAAACGCCATGCTCTACCAACTGAACTACATCCCTGCTGGCCATTCCCTCCCCTACCCTGGGCCAATTGTACACCGCCCCATGGGTCTCCCAGTCGCGGCCGGCTACGACAAAGCCTGGAATGTTCCGTATTGACTGACCTTCATGTCTTAAAGTAATGATGGACTGTCGTTTCACTTTGCTTATTTGAGCTGTTCTTGCCATAATATGGACTTGGTCTTTTACCAAATAGGGCTATATTCTGTATACCCCACCTACCTTGTCACAACACAACTGATTGGCTCAAACGCATTAAGACGAAAAGAAATTCCACAAATTAACTTAAGAACGCACACTTGTTAATTGAAATGCATTCCAGGTGACTACCTCATGAAGCTGGTTGAGAGAATACCAAGAGTGTGCAAAGCTGGCATCAAGGCAAAGGGTGGCTATTTGAAGAATCTCAAATAAAATATATATTTTGATTTGTTTAACACTTTTTTGGTTACTACATGATTCCATATGTGTTATTTCATAGTTTTTATGTCTTCACTATTATTATACAATGTAGAAAATAGTAAAAATAAAGAAAAACCCTTGAATGAGTAGGTGTGTCCAAACTTTTGACTGGTAGTGTATGTATATGCAGCAGAAAAGCTGTAAAAACAAAAATAATATGTGTCCTTCAAAGAGGGGGGTGGTGGTGGATGGGTTAATATATATATTTTCTATATATATTTTTTTTTATATAACACTGCACATCTCCAAGATACGTCTGCAGACCTGCTCTATTTGTAGGGCCAACTGTATATGTAGGTGCAAAGACAAACACAGACAGAGTAGAGGCTGGACTTCAACCTCTCCTCAGTGCAGCCTGTCCTCACGTAACACTACAGATCAGTTCAGCTTCTCTCTAGGAGTATTTACTCTCACAAAAACCACTCTGTCTGTGGGCTTAACCTTGAGCCCAACTTCTCCCTGGTTCCAAGGGTAGAAAACCCATTAATGAGCCTCCCTCACACCTACACCCACACACAGACACAGACAGTCGTGATGATCATCTGCCTGACGGACAATAAAACAAAGCGAAGGGATGCTTATGCAGCACTTCTGACTCCAATGTCTCATACAAGGCAAACAGACATGAGGAGACAAGTCTCCTTCATAAGCACTATATCAGTTTGAATGGTAGTGATTGAAGGGTAGTGATTGACTGGCTGTTTGGGGGCTGTTTTTGGAGAGGTGAGAGAGGATGCAGAGGGAGGAAGACAGCCGGGGAAAGCCGGAGGGACAGCAGGAGGGCTAACTTAAGGAGTGCTAAAGCCTGAGGCCCCTAATCTTATTTAGAGGACAACCTCAGCTGTTCTATTCCTGCTTTCATCAGCCAAACACATGAAACACACACAGCCAAGCTGCTGCTGAGCCCTGTTTTCTACTTGTTTTGATGATGTTGCTTTCTCTTCGCTGCAAATACCCTGAAGCTGACATATATTTTTTTGACAGTTTGTGGTTGGGAGCAATTCATTTCTATAACATTCTCTCTATAACATTCTCTAAGTCAACAATTGTTACACATGGTGGCTCTTTCCATCAGCGGGGTCATGAAGCCTGTTTCCATAATTTTGACAGCAACTCTGAATTAATTTTGATGCTGTAAAAAAAACAAATACATATTTAAAATTAACTTTTGAAAGTCAAAAGGTGTACCAGACCTTTCTTGGTAGTGGTGAAATACTTAGAGTCCGTCATCTTGGATCCAAATTGCCGGTTCTCCTGCAAGAGAGAGAAAGAATGAAAAGAGAAAAACAGGCTCAAGGTATATTTTTCCTAAAAGGAGAGGGATCCGCGAAGAAGACAGGAAACTGTAGAAGTGCAAGTGCAGGCAAAATAGAAGGAAGTCCTGTCTTCATAATTTGGACACTTGGCTGTGATGTATTTTTTATGAGATAACACAATGGACAATGTGTAAAAACACATTGGTCGACGACCCCCCAAAAAGTTAAAACCCTCCTAGTCAGCATATAGGACTACTTAATCAGCCAGCCTCTGACTGGAGCTGTCCTTTGGAGTCCACGGAAACTCAGTCTGCAGTCCTGGAGCCCTGCAGCGCACAGCAATATCCCTTTCCTGTTGTTGAATACCACACTTGATCCACCACCTTTATGCGAAAGATCTTCCCACTAAGAAAAAAAGACTGTTCTCTGCACAAAAAAACAACACTGCAAAGTAGCAGGCTTTGAAAGTAACAAAGCTCCTGTGAAATCAAAAACATTTGTCTCTTATTTCACTGGATTAACCCCCCCCCCAACTTTAGAACTACAGGATGAGATTGGGCAATGGATCTCACATGTTGATGCAATATGAATGATGCTGTGAGTAGCCAGTGCATTGACTCAAGTATTTCATCCATCAACATTAACCCAATTCTAGTACTTACTTTTTTCCTGCATGAGGTAGTCCTATGGATATCAAATGTATTGACTGTATGAAAAATCATTTAGACATACAAAACAACCAGAGTAAAAGAAAAATGGCACAAATTACTACCATGTTATCACACCCTGCTCCCAAAGTGATAGTGCTGAGAGCACAATGCCTGTTGTGAGGCTGTCTGGTCGGGCATTGATAACAATGTTGCTGCCTACCACACTGTCTGGACAAGTTTGTAAATTGCAGTGCTGTGTGGTGGTGGTGGTTCATTTGACAGGACCCTCATCAAATTCCCTGGGACTAAAAGTCGATCTGATTCAGAAGCTGGAGAGTCAGAGGAACAAATATATTTAGGTTAATCTTAGATAGAGTTATGCTAGTTAAAATCTTATTGAATTGAGGCGCATGAATAAAACGTCTTGCCTATATCCAAAGTGAAGGTATAAACTATAACTGTATCATGACAATCAGATCTGTGGCCCTTTGTGAATAAATATATCAACTGAAAAATTGCTCCCGAGTGGCGCAGTGGTCTAAGGCACTGCATCTCAGTGCTTGAGGCGTCACTACAGACCCCCTGGTTCGATTCCAGGCTGTATCACAACCGGCCGTGATTGGGAGTCCCATAGGGCGGCGCACAATTGACCCAGCGTCGTCCGAGTTTGGCCGGTGTAGGCCAAATAAGAATTTGTTCTTAACTGACTTGCCTAGTTAAATAAATATAAAATAAAAAACGCTAACAGCAGGGCTAATTGCTGTGTTATGGCAACTAGCAGTCAACGGCCAGCTGTCATAATGCAAATGTGGCCTAAAACAATGACTGACTCTGCATCTAGCGTGAAGTAAATTATTCCCCAAAGACACCATTTTCTGTAAATTAATCAATATTTTCAACAGCTACCTAGCTAGGAAATTTGTCAAGTTCTAGTAAATGAACTGAAATTGACAAACACTGCGTGGTATCTCTGCCAGCGAACAGGAGCCATTTGACAGCTGTCAAAATCAAGCTATTGACAGATTGTAATTAGTTTGCTAACAGCTAGGTTACTAATAGTGTTAGTTAATTGGCTAACTAGCAACTTAGTTACAACAGTTTCAAGTTACAATGTCACGTGCACAAGTACAGTGAAATGCCTTTCTTGTGAGTTCTATTTAAACCCAACAATGTAGCTAGCCTGGTACTAATCAATTTCAACAACAGATGCTAGTTTAACGCGGGGCCATACACAAATATGTGAATACCCTGTAGTTAGCTACTTAGCTATGACCTATGTGGATAATGTACAGTGTTAAAAACCCTGGCAAACTATTGTTATCATAACTAGCTACACATTTTCACACTTCCTCCTTGTCATTGCTAACAAACATTAATAGCCAACAACAGCTAGCTAGCTAGCTAGCCAGATTGGTTAGCATTTCATCGGTTTAGCTCTCGTTCATCTTAAAAGCTAACTTGTATCAAGCAAAATCGAACCGCACAAATCAGATTTAAAACATCTCTTTCTAACTTCGACTGATGATTGATTACTCACGCATAATTGATTAGCCCACTCCATATTTGCTTGATGAATGAACCTGCTGCTCAACGACTGTACAATTTGCTAGGTACTGTAGCTGATGCTATGTTGCTCTGTCTAAAGAAATTACCTTCTAAAGTAGGGGCTTAAGGAAGCCTATGCCCGGATAGTAAAGCTCTTAATCTATCGACCTATTTTCAAATCCAACCCCACAGAATTAACGTGCCTACTGAAGTTAAAATTAGACACGACACATAATAAAACAGAAGAGAAATCCGACATCAGCTTACCGTTGCGAAGTGTGTGTTTAATTTGGCCTTCGTTCCCTCCCACTTGAAAAGCTATCATCGATCATGGTGTTTTTTACTTCCGACTTCCGCAATAAGGTAATTTTAGGTGGATAATAATTATGACATTTTCTAATTTGGTGAGAAGATTATCTTTAAATGGGTATCAGATCACTATTTTTTTCACATGTTAAATAGACCAATCAAGCCTTTTTCTTGAATGTTCAGACAGAAATGTCAACAACTAGCTATATGCCCAAACTGAGATGGAGCTTGATCATAAGTCTTATTTAAAAATATTAGAACATTTATCTGAATAACAAAATCTCTCTCTCTCTCTCTCTCTCTCTCTCTCTCTCTCTCTCTCTCTATCAAACACAAACACACCTGTATAAAACTAAAGAAATGTGTACCCTAAATAAAAACATAATTTGCCATGTCAAGGTCAGCAATGTGAGATATAAGAACGCTTCCACTTCATCTTTCCTGGATTTTATGGCGGTTATCACTGTGAACATGGTTTTTAATGACTTTTGGTTATAGGGCCTATAGGCTATGGACTTTCTAGTCTCATTTAAAAAGTTGCTTCAAAACCTACTGCATAGACTAACCTCAGTCACCACTGGCATGATTAGAGGTCCTCTCACCATAATTTCACTTCCCTAAAAGTATGAACAATAAAAATGCAGTTGCTAGGAGACCATACAAAACCACAAATCAGAGGAACATATTTTATTACAAGAACAGCTTGACAGCAATTGATTTTTCAAGGAAGAGTGAAGTCTTGGTATTGCAGTATTGCTATTTAATACAGACAAATTCCACAAATGTAAAGCACTCGTCTTCAGTACATTTAAATGTCATTGTTTGATAGAAGATAACATCAGCAAATGAGGCTTAAACACAAAAATAAATTGGAATGGACATTCAAAATTGATGTGATGATCCGTTTAATTTCATTACTTTTTATTATACCATTTAGACAGAGATATCAGAGAGATAAAAGGGAGAATGAGAGAGCGAGAGAGAGAGAGATGATTCGTTATTTTAAAAGCAGTGTTTGACAAACAAAAACCAAAAGCAACGTTGCACCCTAAGGAGAAAGTCAAACTAGAAAATAATTTTGCAATTACAGTTGAATTGACAAACTCAATCATTAGACCATGGTTTTCAACATGTTTACTGGTAAAAACTCTGTCACCTGTTTACCCATCATGCATGTTTTAATATTTCAAACCCATTTGATAATTGAACATTTTAATTGAAAATCTATCAAAAACAAATATATAAATAGTACTTTTTTAAAGACAGCTACATGTAAAAGCAATACCATGAAATGGTTGATCAACTTCTCACTGGGTCAGTCAAGAGAGAAAATTAATATTGGCTAATAATGCAAACAGAGGCTACTTATGCCAGTGGAGGGTAAAATAAAAATGCAACTATCTTTGAGCAGTTAAAAGAATAGGCAGTGTGTAGGTTGGCTCCTTCCTGTGTAGTTATCAACAAAACCTGTGACCCTCTTGGATTGGCTCTATTCATTGCTGGAGTGTTCCCTTAATACAGCAAATAAATGAAGAATCAGGATATTTTTTAAATGCATAACAGCATCTGCTGTATTGTGACTATTTGGTTGATGTGTGGACATTAATTGGCATGATAAACATGTTAAAAGCAAATATTTTAACAATCAAAATCCTCAAGTCAAAGACACAAAAATACATGAAAACATTCTCAGAAATAGTACACCACCACCACCTATGGCCTCAAGTGTCTGCAGAGAATTAATAAGATCACTGGAACCCTGTGCATTACTGAACTAGGGGCTCTGGTTAAAGCCATTAGGATAATGGAGAGCCACAGTTCTAACAAAAACAAATATTTTCCTTTTATGACTTATTCTGGGCCCTCACCTCACTGCCTTCAGACTCTACATACAGCATTGTTTTTCACTTAGAGCCACACCTGTAACTGGAGACCAACTCATAAATAAATAAATAAGGCCAACAACATTCCTCCCTTCTTTTCATCAACAGCTCTACCTACGTTCCCATTTACACCAGAACACCTGGTACATATTCCTATACTGTATGTACACTCAGATTCAGTTTGCTGAAAGATGCGCACACACCAACTCTTTCCACTCTGCTTGTGCAATCCGTTTACTGAAAACCCACTGCAACACAGTCCCTGTCATTCCACTTTAAAACCATTCATAGCAGTTTTAAAACCTCTAAAGCCTTTTTAAAGTGTCAACCCTACAGTTGTATCCCTGGCCTGCTCTGTTATTGATATTACCAATAAGGCAAGAGTCCATTACATTGGACAGACATATCTATTACACTATCAATTATTCATGTCCATTCTCCACATAAAAGCACTCAAGAAAAACCTACACATATTCTTAAGCCATTTCAATACACCACACAATACATCACGATGAACAATCATCTACTCCAAACCAATCCAGCAAAACACGCACATGATCAAAACTCAATCTGTGAAGGAATTTCATCCAAATATGAGACAATCTTTTTACAACCACTAGATGTCACTGAAGACCCTTTGATGAGAGAATGGTTTGTCTATGTATCTATCATACAAATAGATTATAATCCATCTCAAATAAGATGGTGCTTTTAATTTAGTGTCGTTGAACAATTCTACATTTTGAGAAACAAACTGATGGTGATGGCAATGACACTCGTGGTGGATGGGTGTTGTTGTTGGGCACTAACGTTCTCAAACCACACTCAAACACACATTTTAAGGCAAAGGGAATTGTCAAGGCATTTCCAACAGCAATATTGCATAGCTAAGGCAGCATATAACCCCATACAGCAAATATTTACACATTTCATAATTACGTCTTGTTATATACACTATAACCACATCTTTATGCAAGTATACATATACCTGTATATACACATGTACATACAGTATATATACACATTCATCCACTTTAACATAGTCTTTTGTACACATATTTTAGTGTTGATTTTCAAGTTGAGATAACTCTTGATCATTGGAAGTATTCAACTTTGCTGTTTCAGTGACAATGACACATAATCATCTTACTCTTACCCCAGACTGCAGTTAACACATACAACATCATGTGAAAAATCCTACTTTGTATATTTTCACAATAAAAGCTCAAAACCTAATCAGAAGACATCACTCAATCATGGCCATGTGGATTGGCAGTGAGAAAGTGACATCATACATGTATGGCAATGAACAGGTCAGGATGCAGGGGGTTGGTGGGGGAAGGTGAGTAGTAGTGCACATATGGAATATGTAGTGTGTATAAAGTCCAACTGACTTTTAGATGTGAACATTGTACAGTAATGTATTGTAGAGTATTGTATTTATATATGAGTCCAAAACAGATTAGATCTGTAAAGATGTCCACAGAAGGTAACTAGCAGAGGGTGAGTGGCAGTATGGAGAATGAGAGAAAGTATCTGTTACAGCACGCTCTCCACACAAGCATTTTGACAATCAAAGCAGACAGAGATGCTGTGGCATACACTGTCCACTAGAGGGAGCCAGTCCAGTTGACTTCATGATGATGCTAGATGATGATGCTAGTGATTCACTGCTCCTGCCTGGGGTTCTTACCTCCCCCTCAGTACTGGCACTTTTTCAGCGATGCATATGACTGCACATATGTTATCTCTCTCTCTCTCTCTCTCTCTATAGTTGCAGCATAACATGGGGCTTTCAAGACAGTGCCTGCTTTGTATTAGACACTTTATGATTGACCAAAGCATCCCTCAACTTAAACAATAGTATTAGATTCTGGATCAATCCTTTGGTAATAAATAATTAGGCTTAGAGTGCAAAGAATAGAATGGGATACTGAAACCCTGACCATTATAGACAGGAAAGGGCCTGACTGCATTTCAAAATGAGGGAGTGTGCAACATGCTCTATAAAAATAGTCTGTAGCCCGGTCTCCAGTCTATTTTAGACAGTAGTCAGTTTTCATTTGACAACAGACTCTTCTATATCAGTATCATCATGATGAGTTAGTTGTGTGCTACATCCAAGCCTCAGTGTCCAGGCCGCTCCCTGACTCTACAGAGTAGGAGCGGTCCCTGTTGCCCATGGCGGGGGATTGTGACTGAGGGTGGATCAGGTCAGCAAAGGCCTGGTGCATGGCCTTGCGTGAGGGTGGATGGCCATTGGAATGGGAGCTCTGAGGGGACTGTGGCGGGGTGGGGCTGTGGAGGGGAGTATAGTTGCCCCTGGCCTGAAGGTCTCTGTAGCTGACTGGGGTGGGGATACGTGACGGGCTGTTCCCTGGCCGGTTGTCTGTACGGGGTCTGACCCTGGGCCTCAGCTTGAGCTTGTAGATGGAGGGCACCCTGTCAGCCTTCTTCCCTGCCCTCTTGGGCCGGAGTACTACACCCCCATCAACAGCATCCCCATTGGCCAGGGGAGGAGGTGGGGGAGAGGACTCTGAGCGTGATTCACTCAGGCTGAAGCACATGGAGGAGCTCTCACTGGAGGAGTCATCCTGGAAGGAGCAGTCCTCCAAGGGGGGCAGGGGGATGGGCGAGGGACAAGACTCTGGGGGAGGGAGGTCATCATTGGGGTCTCCATCCTCCAGGTCGTAGGGGAAGCTTGGTTGGTGATCCTCCAGAGGGATGTTTCCCTCAGGCCCTGAGCCCCAGCCAAGCTGACCCTGCTGGCTCTCCATCAGCATCTCTGCTGGAGCACCACTGACATGGCCCCCCCCATTCATGCTCCTGGGGTGGAAAGGAAGTTGTGAGGGGGCATGGCTGAGAGGTATGCCCAGCTCCGAGTCTCTCTGGCCAGGCAAGGAGGACAGGAGCTCCCCTTCCTCCATGGAACTGGAGATGGCAGGGAGCTTCCTGAGACCTCCACCTCGCCCGCCCCAGCGCTCTGGTTCTGCGTGCCCACCGTTGGATAGTCCGCCAGGGCTATGGCCATGCAGTGGGCCCAGGGTATCCTCCAGTCCTCCACAGGAACGTGGGTTAGTTCTCTTGGACTCCCGGAGGTCAGGCAGACCACCTACCTTACCCCCCACGTTGAGTGAGGAGGTGGAGGAGTTGGAGGAGGAGTAGGCCGAGTCAGTGACGTTAGGGTCAGCAGAGGCAGGCGTGCGGAGGGTTTGGGGCCCAACCCCCTGCTGTGGGTGTGAGGAGGCGGGCAGTTGAAGGGTGCCCCCCCCTGTGGGTCTACTAGGCCCCCCTCCGCCCTGCCCCGTGTTAGCCAGGAACTCAGCCTCGAAGCTGCGGTACAGGTCCTGCTCCTTCTGGGGGTCCAGGTTGGGCAGGATCTGGAAGTTATAGCCTAGCCCCTCCTCCTCAGGTTCCTGTCGCTCAGAGCCGGCCCACCCTCTGTGGCCATGCCCATTGGAGCGAGGGCCGTGGGAGGTTCGAGGGGAGCGGGGTCCATGCCCATGGTGGTGAGAGGAGCGGGGGGAGGAGGAGTGAGGAGAGCGCCGGCCTGCCTGGGAGACGGGAGGCAGCAGCCTACTCCTCCCCACCGAGGGGGAGCGTGGAGCGGGGGGCCTGGGAGCCACCATAGTCTTCTTACTGAGGCTGCTGCTCTGAAGCCCTTTGATAGGTGAATTAGAGCAGCAGGATGATTGTCTCCTTGAGAAACCTCCACTGATTCTGGGGGAGGCGGGGGGCAGTTGTTTGGTCCTCAGCTCCTCTCGTCTGTCAGAGGATTGGGGCTGCGAGGCCCCGTGACGGGGAGAGGGTCCAGGGCTGGCATCGCTGGTCCGACTCCGGCTGGGCATCTTTCCCTGGCTGTGGGAGCGCAGGGCCTGGAGCCTGTGTGGGCTTTCAGGCCCCAGAGAGCGGCCCCTTTCCCCACGGCTGCTCCTGAGCCCGTCAGAGGGGCCCTGTGGGGGGCTGGGTTTGAGGATGGAGGCGGGGGCAGGGCGTTCCCGGGAGTGGCTGCGTGCGCGGGGCATTGGGGGGCGCAGGGCTGGGACCTGTCCTCCTCCTCCTCCAGGCCTCTCGATCACATGCTTCCCCTCCTTCCTGTTGACCAGCAGGACCACCTCCTCTCCGGAGCGGCGGGTGCCCCCCAGAGAGAAGCGGCCTCCCCCTGCCCCTCCTCCTCCTCCCTTAGAGGAGGCTGTAGAGGAGTCGCTGTCCCCTGACAGACGGCGGGTCACTGGCAACAATGACGACTCCTTAGACCTGCAGAACACAGAGGAAGACAGACAGGGAGTTACTTATAGTTACAGTATCTTTGATTTATTTCTGGCCTGAAATTATATCATTGGAATAAAATAAATATAACATTATATTTTTTAAACATTCATACTAGTTTGAGAGAAAAAAACTTGCTCAGAGGCCATTCTCCAACCCAGCACAATAGTGCCTATGCCTCCCCCCACTCCCCTGGCCCTGACAGGTTTACAGTAAACACCATCCACCTCCAGTCCATGATGGGTCCTGTGACCTCCAGGGATCATGAGGAACCTCCCTGCAGGCTTCTGCTGTTGCTGATGCCTACCCTGACTGACACACGTAGGGCTGGGTGCTTCTCAGAACACTGGGCTGGATCAGGCTCAGGGATTACAGGGAAGATGAGAGCAAGTGGGGGCAGGATTATAGGCCCTGTGGATTTAGTGACACCACACACAGCCGCAGAGAGCGCTGCCTGCCCTGCTTTCCCAGAGCTCACCACACCACACCACTCCACTGTCAAGCACCAGCAGGGCCTCTTGGGACAACGTACCATCCAAGACAGGATACACCTAATGACTTACAGCAAGATAGGAACCCAATCAGTAGAGCTCTGTAGCAGTGGCCAAAACAACAACCTGATAGACATGTATTTCAGAGTCATGTGCTCTCTGGCAATATTCTGTAAGAAGCATTAACTATATCCGCTTTCTTTACTGACATTCTTTATGTAACCCCTTCTATAATGCTCTGTGAAACCAGAACAAACAACCAAGAAAAGATTATTGCACGTTATATAAACAGGGCAAAATAAATATGAGTAACAAGATTGAAATGTTAATCAAATATTGTCTTAAAATAATGACATAGGCAAACCAATATTGTCTATGGATGACTGCATTCTGACGGCTTGACATAACGAAGCACATGGTGTTTTCCCTCCCAGGTTAGCCCACCTGTGACCTACTTCCTAGGGGGGGCAGCAGGGCCTAGGCGGGCAACAGTTGTCAGTCAGATTAACCCTTATCTAGTCTGGTGCACTTGGAGGTGCCAACCTTGAAGGGGTTAACCTGTCCTGAGGCCTGTTGCCGTGACGCCGGGCCTGAGCCATCACTCACTCCGGATACTGAGCCACTCATTGGCCGGGAGCCAAAGTAAACGAGTCCACAGCCCTTAATTGTGTTGAACAATGGCATCTCCACACACTGACGTATGAGGGAGGTATGTGAGACCAACTCAACACTCAACGGGACCTTATGTGGAGAGCTGAGGGCATGCATTCTCTTTAAGATCCAGAAAATAGTTTTATAGCCCATAAAATCCAATACTCTGACTGTCATGTTACTTCAGTGAGAGACATCAGCAGAAAAAAAGAGAGGCATGTTTTTCATCTAGTATAGTCGACATGTAGCCTAATTCAATCCATCAGCTCTGGGCCTTTTAGAGAGAACAGAAACATCACCAACAGCAACACTGTTGGATGTTGAACCCATCCGAATTCAGGCAGTCATTAGCGTAATTAACAGAGCCAAAGGAGAGGAAGGAGGAGAGGGGGAGGGAGAGGGGAGGGAGGAGAGGGGAGGGGAGAGAGAAGGAGGAGAGGGGAAGAGAGGAAAGGGAGTGAGGTGACAGCAGCAATCAAGGTGTGTAACCAGTCTGGCCACCAGGAGGCAGAGTGGAACGGCCGGGAGGGCAGGACTGTGTCAGCGCAATGTCACCTGAGATTAGGAAAATCTCTCTCTGCCTTGTGTAATCTGTCGCTTCCCAGTTTTGTGCGCTGTGCTGTGTTTGTGAGTGTGAGTGATGAAAAGTGGATCAGTGCTGGTGATGCAGACAAAGACGATGAAGTGTCATTAGCACAACACACACAAACACACACACACAACACACACAAACACACACACACACACACACACTCACTCACCTGACTGGGTTCAAGTGGCGGGGTTCTGACCGTTCTCGCGGTGGTCGTGGTAACAGGGGGGTGCGTCCTGCGTTTGTGTCGAGCTCCGTGGGGAGGGAGGGGTGGTGGGAGCGGCCAGGCCGGTTGGAGGAGGAGGGGGCACATGATGGAGGCTCCAGGCCCTGGGTGCGTCTTTCAGGGGGCTTATATGGGGCAATGCCCTCGTTACGCCAGTATGGGCCTGGGCTGGTGGAGCGGGAGGAGTGGGCGCTGGAGGACTTGCTGTGGGCACCCTGCCCACTGGCTTTGGCCTGGTGGTACCGGTGAGCTGCAGGGAACAAGCATAGGAAACAACAATATTAGTAGAGGCTTAGGTATATACGTGAAAAATGTATGCACTAAACTGTAAGTCGCTCTGGATAAGAGCGTCTGCTAAATGACTAAAAATGTAAAAAATGTAGACCTTACAGTGAAATGCTTACTTACAAGCCCTTAACCAACAATGCAGTTTTAACAAAGAATACTTTTAAAAAATTAAGTAACAAATAATTAAAGAGCAGCAGTAAAATAACAATAGCGAGGCTATATACAGGGGGTACCGGTACCGGGTCAATGTGTGGAGGCACCGGTTAGTCGAGGTAATTGAGGTAATATGTACATGTAGGTAGAGTTATTAAAGTGACTATGCATAGATAATAAACAGAGAATAGCAGCAGTGTAAAAGGGGGGGGCAATGCAATAGTCTGGGTAGCCATTTGATTAGATGTTTGACCAGGTGGCGAATCGCATCTCTGCATGTCTGGCAGACATATCAGTATGGATGACGGATCACCACCTCAAGCTGAACCTTGGCAAGACGGAGCTGCTCTTCCTCCCGGGGAAGGACTGCCTGTTCCATGATCTCGCCATCACGGTTGACAACTCCGTTGTGTCCTCCTCCCAGAGTGCGAAGAGCCTTGGCGTGACCCTGGACAACACCCTGTCGTTCTCCGCTAACATCAAGGCGGTGACCCGATCCTGTAGGTTCATGCTCTACAACATTCGGAGAGTACGACCCTGCCTTACACAGGAAGCGGCACAGGTCCTAATCCAGGCACTTGTCATCTCCCGTCTGGATTACTGCAACTCGCTGTTAGCTGGGCTCCCTGCCTGTGCCATTAAACCCCTACAACTCATCCAGAATGCTGCAGCCCGTCTGGTGTTCAACCTTCCCAAGTTCTCTCACGTCACCCCGCTCCTCCGCACACTCCACTGGCTTCCAGTTGAAGCTCGCATCTGCTACAAGACCATGGTGCTTGCCTATGGAGCTGTGAGGGGAACGGCACCTCCGTACCTTCAGGCTCTGATCAGTCCCTACACCCAAACGAGGGCATTGCGTTCATCCACCTCTGGCCCGCTGGCTCCCCTACCTCTGCGGAAGCATAGTTCCCGCTCAGCCCTGTCAAAACTGTTCGCTGCTCTGGCACCCCAATGGTGGAACAAGCTCCCTCACGACGCCAGGACAGCGGAGTCACTCACCACCTTCCGGAGACATTTGAAACCCCACCTCTTTAAGGAATACCTGGGATAGGATAAAGTAATCCTTCTACCCCCCCCTTACCCCAACCCAAAGTTATGTACTGGGCTGTACGCACTACCCTCTGTAGACTCATGGAAAAGGAAGAGCTCTTCTACCCACAGCACAGGGTGACACTAGCCCCAGGCCTGGCTATCACACACGAAGGGTAAACATTAACTGATATGAATGGTTATAGCAGCCGTCAGGTCATGTTTATGACAGTGTGATGAGGGCTTTATGAGCGAAGTGTAGTGTTGTCTGAAAGGCCATTTATATGATACTGAATGAGGTAGCACTATGGTAGCACTATGGTAACACTATGATAACACTGTGGTAGCACTGTGGTAGTATTGTGGAAGCACTGTGGTAGCACTATGGTAACACTATGGTAGCACTGTAGTAGCACTGTGGTAGCACTATGGTACCACTAGTTTGATTACTAGCTTTGGTTACTAGCTAGCTACCTTTTGAGTTTGGATCCCGTGATGCAGTTGGCATCAGTTGCTGGGACTGCTGCTATATGTCCAGGGTTCCTGCCGACCAAGGGTCTGGTGAGCTGCTTGTCGTAGCAGCTAGCCTAGCTGCCACTGTTAGCTGCCTATCAAGCTAGCGGGGTTTCCTTGAGGGCTTGAATGCAGCCCTTGTGGCTGGGACCGCGGATTGTCCCAGGGTTGTGGCTGTCTAGATCCCTGCTGTTTGTTTCTGTTTCCATCTTCCCTGTGACCTGCCCTGTCTGGAACTGCAAGGAGTAACAGCGTAGCCTACGTTGCTACCATGACAAAGACCAAAGCCAGTGGGAGTACCGTTGAGGACAGTGGTGTCTCTCTATCACAGGTGAAGGATCTTTTAAACGAACAAAGATAGTTCTACAAGCAGTTGTTACAACAACAAGAAAATAGCTTCAAGTGTTGTGTCCAAATACTGGTGGAGTCAACTAATAAAATAATGACCTGACCAGAGAGGTCCAGGACCTGAAGAACAGTTTGCAGTTCTCCCAGGGTCAGCTCGATGAGTTGAAACAGGAGAACGGAAAGATGACTGTGAATCTGTAAGTCATTGAGAGAGGATATCAGTTCTGTATATGAATCCATGATAACAATGATGGAGAAATCAGATTATCTCGAGGGACAATCAAGGCAGAACAACATTGTTATGGATGGAATTGCAGAATCTCCGCATGAGACCTGGACGGAGTCTGAGGACAAAGTGAGGGAAATGATTTTGGAGAAACTGAAGAAGGACCACAGGAAGATTGAGGTGGAGCGCGCCCACAGGACTGGAAAAACCACCATCGGCCCAGGTGACAGGCCCGATAGTGGTCAAGTTCCTGAGGGAGCTGTTCTGGAAAGAGCCAAGAACTTGAGAGGAACATACATCTTCCTCAACGAGGACTATCCTGAAGCTGTGCGCAAGTGCTGCAAAGAAAGACCTAGTTAAGCTGCGGCTGTTCCAGAACAGAGCGGCACGTCTTGCTCTTCATTGTAATCAGAGGGCTAATATAAATACTATGCATGCCAGTCTCTCTTGGCTAAGAGTTGAGGAGAGACTGACTGCATCACTTCTTATTTTTATAAGAAACATTCTTGTGTTGAAAATTCCAAATTGTTTGTACACTCAACTTACACACAGCACTGACACACACACTTACCCCACCAAACATGCCACCATGGGTCTTTCACAGTCCCCAAATCCAGAACAAATTCAAGAAAGCGTACAGTATTATATACAGCCATTATTGCTGTCACGCCCTGACTCTGGGGACTCGTATTTGTTGAGTCAGGGTGTGTATTTTCTGTGTGGTATGTTCTATGTTGCATTTTCTATGTTTAGATCTAGATCGTGTAGATCTATGTTGGCCGGTGTGGTTCCCAATCAGAGGCAGCTGTAGCTCGCTGTCTCTGATTGGGGACCATACTTAGGTAGCCTATTGGCACTAGTGGGTTGTGGGATCTTGTTCCGTGTGAGGTATGTTGTTTGTCTACCTTGGACTTCACGTTTCGTTTCATTTGTTGTTTTGTCGTGGTGTTTATTCAGTATAAATAAACATGTATGCATATCACGCTGCGCCTTGGTCCGTCCCGTCTGTAAACGAACGTGACTATTGCATGGAACTCCCTTCCATCTCATATTGCTCAAATGAACAGCAAACCTGGTTTCAAAAAACAGCTAATGGGGATCCTAATAAAATACCAAATCCACTATGGTAACACTATGCTAGCACTGTTGTAACACTATGGTAACACTATGGTAGCACTGTGGTAACACTATGCTAGCACTGTTGTAACACTATGGTAACACTATGGTAGCACTATGGTAACACTATGCTAGCACTGTTGTAACACTATGGTAACACTATGCTAGCACTGTTGTAACACTATGGTAGCACTGTGGTAACACTATGGTAACACTATGGTAGCACTGTGGTAACACTATGCTAGCACTGTTGTAACACTATGGTAACACTATGCTAGCACTGTTGTAACACTATGGTAGCACTGTGGTAACACTATGCTAGCACTGTTGTAACACTATGGTAACACTATGCTAGCACTGTTGTAACACTATGGTAGCACTGTGGTAACACTATGCTAGCACTGTTGTAACACTATGCTAGCACTGTTGTAACACTATGGTAGCACTGTGGTAACACTATGGTAATACTATGGTAGCAATATGGTCACACTATGGTAACATTGTGGTAACACTATGGTACCACAGTGTGAGCTGTACAACTCCTGAGCTAAGTTGTATCAGATAAGCGGCTCAAATGGATACAATTGTAAAACAATTGTGAGCCGTGCAGACTGACCAGAATTAGATACAATAGAGTACAATATAAAACAATATAACTCAGTGACTATAAAGGGTAAAGGGCTGGTTGTTTGGGTAGAGGTGACCTCACCGAAGGCGGCACAGCGGCAGGGGTCATGCTTGTCCAGATAGTGTTCTAATGTGTCCCATCCCCCACCCACACGCACCATCACATGAGTACGAAGGACCTAAGGAGAAAGTGAGAGAGAGAGAGAGAAAGTGGACAAGGTTACAACCCTGACAAACATGGCATCAATTCACAAATGCACTAATGAAGACTAGAGAGAGACTATATACTATGAAGCTTAGCACACACACACGTACAAACACAAAACCATGCGTACACACACAACCGCTCACGCGCACACACACACACACAAAAGCACACACACTGTTTTAAAAAACTAAAGTGATGTTTAAACCCAGTGACACGGTGCGATACCACACAGACTGCAGATCAAGTAAATAGATATGTAAATCTTACAAGTGGGGCAGAATGCTGAGCGCTTGGCCTGGAGTCCCTCCCCCCTGCCCCCGAAATTAAGTAACACTCCCATCAGATGCACCCCTGCCAGTGCCTCTGCCTCCTCCCTCCTCCCACATGACCCCCAGCTGCCGCCATTATGAGCACTGTTCATCGCCATGCCAACACACAATTAAAAAGAGAGGGGAGAAGAATAAAGAGGCACACTGCTATGAAAGACACTCCCCCTCTCCCTCTCTCAGCTGGCGTATCCATGCTTTTAGAGTGGGGGGGGGGGGGGGGGGGGGGGGGGGGGGGGGGGGATTAGCATGGTAACAACTCATCCTGCCCCATCCTCTTCTACAATTTCAGCTAGAAGAGAGGAGGGGGGGGGGGGGGGGGGTGAGCGAGCGAGAGAAGAGCGAGAAGAGAGGGGGAGAGGAGAAGAGAGGAGAGGGGGTTGGTCATTGAGGCACAAACAGACCCAGAGTATGAAGCCCAGACAGTCTCTTTCTCTCTGTCTCTCTCTTTCCCCTGCAGGCAGATGCATTCCTCACAGCAGGGAGAGAGAGACTGTATATTTAGCCTGATGTGAAGGTCCTGTGGATGCAGCCACGCCAGCCTGCCTCCTCTCTGGGTTGTGTAATCACTGCTGCCAGCCACATGTTTCATTTAGGGGCTGGGCCCGTGTCTCTCTACGGCCAGGCCAGGCCAGACAGGGCCATGAGGGTGCATCTGTGTGAGCTGGCTCTTGCGGGAGCCATGCTGCACTAAATCACATGTAACCATGCAAGGCCTCCCACACTGACTCAGGACAGGACACAGCCCACAGTGATCTGGTCCTAACAGTGCTGCTCCTGCTCTACCACCTGTCCTCTGCTGCTCTTCTACATGCCCACCACACCGCCAACACGACACACTGTCTGTCTGCAAAACAGCTGTCCTCCTCTGCCTTACTTCTTACTTCTTCTTCTTTCTAGTCCTTTACTGCTGCCACTCTACTCCTGAGACTGTTAGTCTTGTTCCAAGCAGAGAGGCTATGTGATGGTAAACTGTTGGCCTATTGTCTGGTCCACTAATGGTGTCCAACTATGCCTGACCCAGACTCTGTGTTGTGAGTACCATGATAAGGATGAGTTGATTCCCTGGAACCAGTGATGCTCCAGCCCTCTGCCTCAGCAGCCAGCCCATCAGTGATGGGGTATCCCACTCTCCACAACTCTATAGAACTAACCCGTTTCTATGGCAACGGCGAACAGAGACTACTTGTAATCACGATGGGGGTGGAGTAAACCAATTCCCTCCCAAATCAGGCTTGAAGTTTTAAGCTCATGGCCCGCTGACGCTGTACCACAACTCCAAGCACCCTTTCCTTGTACATCTCTCCTCCATTTATTTATCCACCCTTTTCCCCCCTCACTTCCTCCCTCTCTCCTACACCTCGTGCTCTAGCCTGCACTCTTTGTCAGGCTTTGGCAACTGAATGGGGCCTGTTGGCTTGATGGTGGCAGCCAGCAGGCTAGCTTCCTCCCTGCAGATAAATAGGGAAGTGTGTTGGCTGGGCTGCACTAGCGGCTGCTGGGGGATATGCATAATCACTGTCCTCCTCAGTGAGTGGAGGAGAGGGTGGAGACGGTGCGGAGGGGGGTTAATCTGAAACGGCTCCTACACACAGACTATCTCCAGACAGGTTTTACACTAAGATGTGTGACACGCTTCAAACACACTGCCACTACTACACTTGAGTTTAACACTTTACCTGCCTCAAAAGCCACTACACTTTAGTTTTAACACTTCATTTGCTTTCAACCCAGCCACGGCATTCGAGTTAACACTTTAACGTTACCTGCTTCCAAAACAGCCACTACACTTAGGTTTAACATACCGCACACGTAAGACACTACTAAAACAGGCACTCCACTACATACCATACAGCCAAACACACAGTCAGTCATCCAAACTTTAAGAAACATTTAACAGAAACATCTCACTGAGGTGTAAAAGTCCCCTGTAGCTCAGTTGGTAGAGCATGGCGCTTGCAACGCCAGGGTTGTGGGTTCGTTTCCCACTGGGGCCAGTATGAAAATGTATGCACTCACTAACTGTAAGTCGCTCTGGATAAGAGCGTCTGCTAAAATGACTAAAATGTAAACATGTAAAATGTAAAAGCATACCACAGATCCTAACATACACACTGTGCTTTTAACAGACCTACATGAATCGCAATTTTAAATTCTGGGAAAGTTTGATCTGCTCAAAAGAAGAGTGGACATGTTGCCAGCATTGGGAAGTAAGGCAGACATCCTGGAAATGCATCAGATTTGGACTGGCATCCGTTCAGTCCATTCATTGGGCGGAGGTACATGGGAGGTAAGTGAAACAGAATCGATCTATCTGGCGGGCAGCCTTCCTGCAGGCACAGGCCCGGAAGGCAAGATAGAGTTGCAGTGGTGACACCAGGCAGGGCCCAGACTGAGGCACACAGCCTAGCAGAAACAAGCAGCAGAGCAGGCCAGATAAGGGCCCATACAGGAAATGACCCAAAACTCTATTTGTGTCTGGCTGGGCCAGCGTGTATGGGAGTTGGGAGGTCTGGGCCAGCCAGTAGGGAGGTACCAAGAGCCAGAGTAGTGCACTGGGAATAGGTCTGTGCAGATTGTAAACAATATGCGGCCTGGACTGGGGAGAATGAGATCACTGTACATACTGTAGTTCAGGGGAAATGTATTATATCTACAGAATAGTTGCTTTGTTTGACCCTGTTCTGGTTTTCCTTGCAGCAACAAGTTTAGCTAAATGTACACACTGCATGCCTCCATTGTAATACTGTGTAAGCAGCCATCACAACAGCAGCATATAAACATATGACAATCTAATTGCTCCAGGGCATAATATTTGCATTTATGCAAAATATGAACTGTAGCCTACTATCAAACTGCAATGCAATCTAAATGATATTAGAGTAATCCAAAGTCACGTCCATGAGCTGTGAAAAAGACAAAGAACCTATCTATGGACTCTTGGACTGTGTAAAGGTGCAATTCCAATACTATAGATGGTTAACCTGTAAAGAAATTCCATCACAGGTTACTAATGCATCCACAGGTTTAAGACATAGTCATGAATGCATGCGCACACACACACACACCACTCAAGGCTGATTGTTGACTATTCTTATGGGCTGGTTTAGTGGATGGGGTTGATGTTGATGGTCAGTTCGTACCCGTATGAAGATCAGAGCACTGGAGTCTCCCACTTTGTATTTCCCCTCAGACACCTTGGTCATAGGGAACTGGGCAGGGCAGGAGCAGCGGCCCAGGATCTCCCGCACCTACAGAGACATAACAGAACCCTGGTTACCACCCACAGCTACAGAAAGGAACAACAGGCAGAAACTGTTCATTCTCTGTTCAACCTTCCATCTTCTTCATTTCAACTCTTCCTATGACATCATGCTTACTCATATCCAAGACAAAATCCCCTCTGGTCCTGAGCTCTGTGTGTGTGTGAGTGTCAACAGCACAGTGATTCTATTACATTAGGGTGAGACATGGCTAGCCATGGCTGTCTGTATGTGTCTCAGCTTCCTACAGAGCAGAGGTTCCTCTGAGTACCTGTGTAATGGAGAGCCCATCCTCTCCCTCCCTCACCAAATATGTCCTCATCTGCCTGGAACACTTAGTCCAGCTCATTGCTGCAGTGCATAAAGTCATAAAGGCACACAAATAAACATTACAACATGCACACACACACACACAAACACACACACACACACACACACACACACACACAAACACACACACACACACACACACACACACAAACACACACACTGCTGTGGGGACCTCCTGACTGCTGCAATAAGGTGAGGCCCTAACTAAATTCAGAGGGGTGATGTTAATTTGAGTCTGTGGTTTCAGATGCATTTTGGGTTGAGAGAGACAGCTCCGGTACTGTACTGTGCTGTGCTGTGCATATTAAGCACAGTGGAGTCAGACAGAACTCTAGGGTGGGGCGAGAGAGGCCTATGTTGTGTGGGCGCTCTCTCTCGCCTGGGATTGGCCAGCTTTCATGTTATTCTTGGCAGCTCTCTCAGACAAAGGCGTGTGCACACTTGTCAACCGAGAGACCATGAGCAGAGAGAGAGAGACCAACAACATCACAGAGGACAAAAAGAGGCGAGCTGTGCAAGGACAAAGAAACAGGGAGTCCTGTCCTCCATATGTACTGTATATACAGCAACAAATCAATCAAATCAAATTTTATTTGTCACATACTTCGTAAACAACAGGTGTAGACTAACAGTGAAATGCTTACTTACGGGCCCAACAATGCAGAGAAAGCACATGTACAGTACAAATACAAACACAGAGAAACAATTGAAAGGCTCTCAGTAGTCTCTCAAGGAATTAATCACATTAAGAAAACCAATCAGATGAAGAGAGATTGAATTAGATCAAAATAGATTAAATGTGAGACAGCCAAGTATCGATTGAAGAAGACAGTTACCATCCAAGTACAGTATATATTTAGCTGGAGGCAGTGTTGCAGGCAATGTTCCCTCTAAACTGTGTGCGTGCGTGGGCGTGTAGCAGCCCTGAGAATGCTGCGCAGCTCCCGGGACTGCCACGCAGAGCGCAGAAGAAATATCAGCCCATGGAGAGAAGCACGAGATTGAACTTCACTCAACTTTCTAGAGTTTTCCCTGTTAACACTATCAACGTTTCCCGTTACTTTGGCAATTGTGATCGAATCAATGCAATATTAGCCACTTTCAATGCAACATACCGAAACAAAACGAACTACGCAATATACGTTGTTGTAGGCAGAATTTTTCGTAGTAGGATTCTATTGTGCAAGACTCAGCCCGTACTCTACATAGACCAGTGTGGCATAACCAATCAGAGCTGCAGTAGGCCTATATGCAAACAGACCATTGCCATATATGGATTTGTGTCATTTACTTTGAACTGGACTGTGTTTACAGCTGTGGTCGTGAGTAGTTCTACTTCATGTCTTTCAGACCATCAGTACGGTCGAAAGTATGGATTATATCCCCTGCGCTCCACGCAGGTTGCGTAATAATAACAACAATGTCACGCAGGTGATGTGACAGCTATAAGACGTGAGATTCGGATTGCCTACCCTAGGCATCCCTCTCCCCTGGTATTATTAGCATGCTACAAGCTCGCTAGCAAGGTAGTTTACCAACTCAACCTAGCTGCCACTGTGTGTTGTCAGCTTGGCTTACCAAACGACAGCCATTCGTGCGTGTTTCGAATAAATAAGCCTACGTTTAAACATGGTATCTCTCCTGCTCCAGCCCTGTGGTCATAACTAGGCTCACCCGAAATAATTTTGCGGGTGCTGTACAGCTACCCTTACTGTGTATTGTGGTCTCTGGTTACTATTATATTAGTTAATTTAATGAATCAGTATACACTACCAGTCAAAAGTTTGGACACACCTACTCAAGGGTTTTTCTGTATTTTTACTATTTTCTACATTGTAGAATAATGGTGAAGACATCAAAACTCTGAAATAACACATACAGTGGGGGAAAAAGTATTTAGTCAGCCACCAATTGTGCAAGTTCTTGCCAACAAAGGGTATATAACAAAGTATTGAGAAACTTTTGTTATTGACCAAATACTTATTTTCCACCATCATTTGCAAATAAATTCATAAAAAATCCTACAATGTGATTTTCTGGAAAAACATTTCTCAATTTGTCTGTCATAGTTGACGTGTACCTATGATGAAAATTACAGGCCTCTCTCATCTTTTTAAGTGGGAAAACTTGCACAATTGGTGGCTGACTAAATACTTTTTTCCCCCACTGTATGGAATCATGTAGCAACCAAAAAAGTGTTAAACAAATCAAAGTATATTTTAGATTTTAGATTCTTCAAAGTAGCCACCCTTTGCCTTGATAACAGCTTTGCACACTCTTGGCATTCTCTCAACCAGCTTCAGCTGGAATACTTTTCCAACAGACTTGAAGGAGTTCCCACATATGCTGAGCACTTGTTGGCTGCTTTTCCTTCACTCTGCAGTCCAACTCATCCCAAACCATCTCAATTGGGTTGAGGTCGGGTGATTGTGGAAGCCAGGTCATCTGATGCAGCACTCCATCAATCTCCTTCTTGGTCAAATAGCCCTTACACAGCCTGGAGGTGTGTTGGGTCATTGTCCTGTTGAAAAACAAATGATAGTCCAACTAAGCGCAAACCAGATGGGATGGCGTATCACTGCAGAATTCTGTGGTAGCCATGCTGGTTAAGTGTGCCTTGAATTCTAAATAAATCACAGACAGTGTCACCAGCAGAGCAACCCCACACCATAACACCTCCTCCTCCATGCTTCACGGTGGAAACCACACAAGCAGAGATCATCCGTTCACCTACTCTACGTTTCACAAAGACACGGCGGTTGGAACCAAAAATCTCAAATTTGGACTCATCAGACCAAAGGACAGATTTCCACCGGTCTAATGTCCATTGCTCGTGTTTCTTGGCCCATGCAAGTCTCTTATTCTTATTGGTGTCCTTTAGTAGTGGTTTCTTTGAAGCAATTCGACCATGAAGGCCTGATTCACACAGTCCCCTCTGAAAAGCTGATGTTGAGATGTGTCTGTTACTCTGTGAAGCATTTATTTGGGCTGCAATTTCTGAAGCTGGTAACTCTAATGAACTTATCCTCTGCAGCAGAGGTAACTCTGGGTCTTCCTTTCCTGTGGCAGTCCTCATGGGAGCCAGTTTCATCATAGCGCTTGATGGTTTTTGCAACTGCACTTTTACAGTTCTTGAAATGTTCCTGATTAACTGACCTTCATGTCTTAAAGTAATGCTGGACTGTTGTTTCTCTTATTTGAGCAGTTCTTGCCATAATATGGACTTGTTAATTGAAATGCATTCCAGGTGACTACCTCATGAAGCTGGTTGAGAGAATGCCAAGAGTGTGCAAAGCTGTCATCAAGGCAAAGGGTGGCTATTTGAAGAATCTCAAATATAAAATATATTTTGATGTGTTTAACACTTTTTTGGTTACTACATGATTCCATATGTGTTATTTCATAGTTTCAATGTCTTCACTATTATTCTACAATGTAGAAAATAGTAAAAATAAAGAAAAACCCTTTAATGAGTAGGTGTGTCCAAACATTTGACTGGTACTGTATTTCATTCTCCAAACACACCAAGACAGTCGTGAAGAGGGCACGACAACACCTTTTCCCCCTCAGGAGACTGAAAAGATTTGACATGGGTCCCCAGATCCTCAAAAAGTTATACAGCTGCACCATCGAGAGCATCCTGACCAGTTGCATCACCGACCGTAAGGCGCTACAGAGGGTAGTGCGTACGGCCCAGTACATCACTGGGGCCAAGCTTCCTGCCATCCAGGACCTATATACTAGGCGGTGTCAGAGGAAGGCCCAAAAAATTGTCAAAGACTCCAGTCACCCAAGTCATAGACTGTTCTCTCTGCTACCGCACGGCAAGCGGTACCGGAGCACCAAGTCTAGGTCCAAAAGGCTCCTTAACAGCTTCTACCCCCAAGCCATAAGACTGCTGAACAATTAATAAAATGGGCACCTGGACAATTTACATTGACCACCCCCACCCCCACCCCTACACTGCTGCTACTCACTGTTTATTATCTATGCATAGTCACTTTACCCCTACCTACAGTTGAAGTCGGAAATGTACATACACACCTTAGCCAAATACATTTAAACTCAGTTTTTCACAATTCCTGACATTTAATCCTAGTAAAAAGTCCCTGTCTTAGTTCAGTTAGGATCACCACTTTATTTTAAGAATGTGAAATGTCAGAATAGCTTTTATTTATTTCATCACATTCCCAGTGGGTCAGAAGTTTACATACACTCAATTAGTATTTGGTAGCATTGCCTTTAAATTGTTTAACTTGGGTCAAACGTTTCGGGTAGCCTTCCACAAGCTTCCCACAATAAGTTGGGTGAATTTTGGCCCATTCCTACTGACAGAGCTGGTGTAACTGAGTCAGGTTTGTAGGTCTCCTTGCTCGCACACGCTTTTTCAGTTCTGCCCACACATTTTCTATAGGATTGAGGTCAGGGCTTTGTGATGGCCACTCCAATACCTTGACTTTGTTGTCGTTAAGCCATTTTGCCACAACTTTGGAAAATATGCTTGGGATCATTGTCCATTTGGAAGACCCATTTGCGACCAAGCTTTAACTTCCTGACTGATGTCTTGAGATGTTGCTTCAATATAGCCATATTACATTTTAGTCATTTAGCAGACGCTCTTATCCAGAGCGACTTACAGTTAGTGAGTGCATACATTT